GTACCAGTGTAGCACCCGGCATCGTGATTGGCTCGTCCGAGTTGTCATTGTGGCTTCTCGGTCCGCGCACCGAACCGCGCTCTGCGGCCGGCGGTCTTGTACCTGCTCTCTCATGGTCCGAAATCGCCATAGGCATCCGCGAGTTACAGTGGTAGTATCATCATCGTATTTGCCGCGGACTCCGCGTACTGCGCCTATCTTTCGCGGACCTGCATGTATTCTAGAAGCTTGGAGCGATGGCACACCGCGGATCTGTAACCGTCCCTGGCAGCGCAGGTACCTGGCGTTGATGCGCGGGCCGCATCATATGGCATTGCGTGGCAGCCGCGGGCTCTGGGGGCTTGAAAACTGGAATGCCTCATTTCTCGAGTATTCAACTACGTGCAATGTGTATTTTGCGAATTCTATTTTGTATGTGAAGGGAGCGATACGTTAGCCGCGCTGGATGTACTTGACATCATGTACGGTAAGGCAGGGCGCAAGCTATCACAGTCGCTGGCCGCGCCGCAGCTCCGCGGAAACAAACCCAAGTGAAAGAAATTGCACGGCAATTCGAAGCGCGCTGAGTTACCACTGTCAAAAATACCGCTTCGTCGCTTGCATGAACGCCCGCACCGGCAGCTCATGTCGAAGAGTTTGCATGTACAATCTCCAAGTTCAACCCCACGATCCAGAATCTGCGCGCTAACCAGGGCCGCCACCGGGTCTCACCTTGGAAGCGCCAAGCCAATCAAAACGTCGTTAAACCCTTGCCGCACCCCCCGCAAGCCACTTCAATGCTTCCAAGAGCTGCACCCCAAGAAAAAAAAAAGTTGATGACGATGCAGATTGGCGCAAAAGCCGCATGGCTTCCCGTATCGTGCCCGGTCATCGCGGCTGAAAACCCGTCTGCCCGCGCATCTAAAGAGGCCGCACGCCCGGTTTCTGTTCTGCTCTTGGGAAAACAGAATACCAGGCGCTAGAGACGTCAATCTTGGATCTTTGGAAACTTGGCTCCAACCCACGCGCGGCTTTCTCCATTGTGCGCGCAACATTTCTGCCCCCGCTTTGCTCAAGCCGGAGCTTATCGTGACATGACTTAAAACCATTGAGCTACGTGCACACTCACATCGCCAGCTCTACACCGCAAACACCGGACTCACGTCTCTCTTTGATTCCTTCCCACCTCCCCCCTTTCTTGTCATCTTCATGACCATCTGTCAACTACCGCCTTCTGTCGCCCTCATCACTCGACGAAGCCTACTCATCCCCGCCACCACCATGGGGTCCCAAATCACCGCCTCTTCCCTCCCCCAGCTCCTGGAGCACGACACATGCGTCAAGCTGGCGGGCATCGACGTCGACGGCATCCTGCGCGGCAAGCTCGTCTCCAAGAAGAAGTTCTTATCCATTGCCGAAGCAGGATTCGGCTTCTGCTCCGTCATTTTCGGCTGGGACATGCATGACCAGACCTACCTCAAGGAGCTCAAGGTGTCCAACGCCGAGAACGGCTACCGCGACATTCTGGCCATTCCCGACCTCTCCACCTTTCGAAGGGTGCCGTGGGAGGACAACGTGCCTTTTTTCCTCGTCAACTTCTTCGACCCGGAAACCAAGAAGCCCATTGCTCCCTGTTCAAGAGGCCTGCTCAAGACGCAGCTGGACAAGGTCCACGCCAAGGGCTACGGAGCCATGGCTGGCGGTATGTTTCTTTGCCTCCAGACCGACCACTTGGGTCATGCTAACTCGAGTCCTTGACAAAAGCTGAATACGAATTCTACACCTTTCGCAACCCAAACAGCGACTCGGCCTCCCCGGCCGGCTTCCTCCTGCAAAACCCGCCTCATCAGCTGCCCTCCCTGACCGAGGGCATGTTCGGCTACTCGCTCAACCGCCCCGTCCACAACAAGGACTGGTACTACGACGTGTACAACACGTGTGCCCGCTTCTCCTGCGACATCGAGGGCTGGCACACCGAGTCCGGCCCGGGCGTGTACGAAGCGGCCCTCGAGTTCGGCGAGGTGGCTGACATGGCCGACCGCGCCAGCCTGTTCAAGTACGTCGTCAAGAGCGTGGGCATCAACCACGGCATCACGCCGTGCTTCATGGCCAAGCCGAAACAGGGCCTGCCCGGAAACAGCGGCCACATGCACATCTCCATCGTCGACGGCGACGGCAAGAACCTGCTCGCCAGGGACACCACGGACCCCGACGCCAAGTGGAACGACATTGCGGCCCTGTCCGATCTGGGCCGGCACTTCCTGGCGGGCCTCCTCGAGGGCCTGCCGGACATCATGCCCATGCTGGCCCCGACGGTCAACTCGTACAAGCGGCTCGTCGAGAACTTTTGGGCGCCCGTCACTGTGTCGTGGGGGCTGGAGCACCGCGCCGCTTCTATCCGCCTCATTTCGCCGCCGACGTCCAAACCCGGCGCCACGAGGTTCGAGGTCCGCACGCCCGGGGCCGATTCAAATCCTCACTTTGTCCTGGCCGCCATTCTGGGCTGTGGGTGGCGCGGCGTAGAGAAGAAGCTGGAGATTCCGTGCCCGCCGCTTGCCCTGGGGCAGGATACAGGCGGTGCGGGCGACGTGGGCGAGCGGCTGGCCAAGAGTCTCAAGGAGGCTACGGCGCGATTTATGAGAAAGGATAGCATTGCGAGAGAGATTTTCGGCGATGATTTCGTCGATCATTTTGGCGGCACCAGAGAGAACGAGGTTCGGTTGTTTGACGAGGCTGTTACGGATTGGTACGTGCTTCAACCCCTTCACATCAAACCAGCACATCATGTGCCTGTGCTGACCAGTTCATTCTAGGGAAATGAAGCGTTACATTGAAACCGTCTAAGGGAGTGGGCGATGGGCAATGCCTAGTCGGTCATCACGATACCCCTGTTGGATTACATGTTGCATGTGTATATTTATGTTTCTATTCGCGGTGGGGCCATTGCTGTTACGCCGTTAGTCCATGATTGATGATTTATATATTACGAGTACATCAACGTCGGGGAGTTGCCCTCTCCTGTCGACTTGTGGGCTTCTGCCAACTCTCCTTGTTTCCGTGACGATTGTCCCACCGGTCATTAGCAAACGAGCTTCGCTACACAATTCTATGCGCCGCGCAGCTCGACACGCCCAATGTAGTTCTCACTTACAGCTTGAGAGCGGCGGAATGGAGTATTTGACAAAGCTGCGCTTGCAAAACTGTATTGATCAATGCCTCCTGCCAGTGGAGGTCTTATTTTGGTAGGTCTCCTACATTTCCTTTACACATCAACTACTGGTGTATGTTTATCCTCATTTTTGACGACAACGTGCAGACAACTTCACATACCTTGGTAAAATCTACCGAATCCATCCAGAATAATGAAGCCTGTTAGGGTTGGGACGAAGTCCGCACAAAACCACCAGGTTGCAGAGGCTCCAAACTCATAACGCCGGCTTTTTGTGCACAGCATGTCCTGCGCTGCCGGAGAGAGATCAATCGAGGCCCATATATTTCCTCACTGCCAGATACGCGCGTCTGCGCTACCAGCGCTGTGCTTTCAGACACGCGTAACGTCAAGACGATGGGATCAAGTAGTGCAACGTCAGGTACCGTTCAAGATTCGAAGTTAAACGAAACCAGCCGGGACTACGGCTGGTGTACTCGGCATGATCTAGAACATCGTCATGTCCAACGGACCCCTTCACTCACACCCCCTGCTGCCTTTGCAGAACGCTATTTCTGCATCCAACTTGGCGGCACAACCAACCGCATCCGCTGCTGACGTCGTATTGCGCTACGCGTGTTTCTTAACTTGACCGCCGCTCTGCCACGTCAGACCTTTGTGCCGGTGGCGTCGAGAAAATCTACGCTTCTGCAGGCGATTTTTGGTGAAGTTCGATGCGAAAGTGGTGCCATCATCCTCGAATCCTCGATGACCGAATCACCTGTTACACCCAGACACCAACGCCATGGTTACGGGTATAAACCTATCCCGAAAACGACACATTGGACTGTTACTGTGGTCATGCTCCGACACTGTGCCCTGAATCATGACCTTGGCCGGTCGCTGGATGAAGATACGACCTGGATCGGAAGTGACGGGTATTTGACAGTATACTGGGTAGAGTGGCCAGGAATACAGGTTTTTGACTACTCTTTCAAGGTGGCTGGATATGTAAAGTGCTCGGATCGAAGCTTGTATTTGTGACCCCTGGTATATCTACAAATACAGCAGCGAATCTCGACAGCCCCCGCAACCTGCATCCGGAGAAGGGTCTGATCGGCCAGGGACGTTTACAGTGCCTCTAATCCCCTCTTCTACTCTCATCGTGTGCTCAGATGATTCACATCTTTTACTGCGGGAGGATGGACCGCAGCGTTTGAACAAAGCCGTTGGTAGGATTTCCAGACTGATCAAGTATCTGCAGGGCAGGTGTTGTAGTAAATAAATACGCAGCCGCGCACAGTCTTAACAACATCGCCCGAATTCCAGCTCCCGTGCAGTTGTTATGTAGCTGCTGGAATCAAGTTGGCTTGACCTACTAGGTGAGCGTCCAAATAGGTCGAGGCACGTTACCTTCATGCAAAGTGTGCGCCATTATTACATAATTTGTCTAAGATTTTTAACGCCATGTCTCAAATGTTAGTCAGATTCTGCACATCGGCGTTGAATCAACCGAATGTTTAGCCGGAGGGGGAAGACGGACTACCGCGCCTATATTAGCATTGACTAAACGTTTTCTTAATATCCTAACAATCTTAAGAACCCTTGAAAACTAGCAGAGAGTACATCTTGCCAACAGCCATCTATACACGCTTGCTAGCATGTACTATTCAAGCCTGGTCCTATAACCGCGGCTGAAAGCAGGCCGATTAAATAACAGACTTGCTCTACTAAATTACCGTAGAGATTTTCCCTTGTAGTCAGAGCATTAAAATTAGTGTAGGTTTGTAGTATTTAGTGAATTTTCGCGTAGTGTAATTTAGTGTAGTAAATTACAATTATACCCTAATTTGAATTTTTATTCATGAATGTGTTACGAGGGCTGTCTGCCAATAATGCAGTGGACCTCGAAGCCGACTGCACAAACACCATTTTCCAAATCACGATGCACAAGGACCATGATGTCCTCCACATCCCGAGTCGACTTGACCCAGTCGAAGCCTCCCTGAAGCACCATGCCGAGTAGCCCCTGACGAAGAGTCGAGAGCATAGTTCGCCCGGCCAAGTCTTGAATCACCTTTCCTTTGCCATACGTGCTAAAGCTCATCTGGTAACAATCCGTATAGCCCTGGCTTTTGACATGTTGGAAAAGATTTGCAGGAGCTCTGCATGACAAATCAGACCCTTGCTTGGGGTTAAACTAGGAAGGGGGGGGGAGATTGGACTGACGTTATATCCCTGCCTATCGCCGCAGCGTACCGCACCTCGACGTTGATGAGCTTCTGGAAGTGCTCTGTCATGGGCAGGCACGATATGCTCGGGTAGCCCGACTCGGCCCAGAGCAAATAACCCCCCGGGCGTAAGAGAGAGCGCATATTCGCCGCGACGATGGGCCACTGCTCGGCGTTGAGCGCCGTGATGAGGAGGCGAACGTGTACTAGGTCATACTGCCCGTGGAGGTGCTCTGCAAAGGGTAGCAATGCGTCACAGGGAAAAAGCTTGACATTGGGGGGCAACTGGGATGCTGGTGGGAATTTTGCCGGCTCCACGTCGTAGCCGTCGAGTCGGGCATCCGGCGGCAACTCGGTGGCGATATCGCTGAGCCAGACGCCGGTGCCGGTAGCTATGTCGGCGACGGCTGGAGCTCGCCCGAGGGATGCCAGGTATTGACGAATGTTCGTTGGGAGAAGGCCATCTGTCAGCGGTTTGAACACGGCACGGTGTTGAAATTCGAGACGGTCGACTTCAACTGGTGTAGGGCCGAGGTTGTATGTATAGATGGTTGGACCCATTTCTGCTGGCCGTGAAGAGGTGGTGGTGGTGGTGATGGTGGTGGTGGCGATGATGATGATGATGGTGATGGTGATGATGAAACGGTTGTGTGGATTTTACAACCCGCTGGCCAGGGATATATAACTTGACTGAAGCCAACATGAGCTTTGAGAATGCTTGTCGAGGGAAACGGAACTGATCTGGACCACATCTGGGCGACTGATGTCTTACCGTGCTCTGTCTCGTATGCCACGTCACCATGCCTCTTATATCTGACTACATGTAAGCAGACAGTTGCTCCATTAGCCAGCTGGCCACCGAAAATAGTAATTTAGTCAGCCAGTGAGTGTCGTAGTGCATCTGTATGTCATCTGACTTTGGCTCGAGTCGCAAAAGAACATGGGATATATCCTTGATCTAGGGATCCGGATGCCTCCTGAAACCACATATTATGTTGCACGGAAAAGGCCCGACAGATCGTGAAGCCCAACAAAGGGTCCTCGCCGATACAGGACTTGTAGGTTACTCAGCTTGAACACGTGCCCGGACAAGAGCTCTAGGCCCGGGCGTTCCTTTCATGTATATAAGGCGCAGTGCGGTCACCCTTCCTTTTCTCTCTCGTAGCAACTCGAGACCTTAGAGACCCTTCGAGATTATTATTGAATTGAGCCCTTTTGCTCCAAGCCCTCTTCGAGCCCTTGTCACATATTGCGGGAGTGCCAACTCACCATTCTGTCCTTGTTGATCCCGTCATTTCTCACACATGAACAAATCTTTAGACCTTTGCCGTGCCACGGTAGCTTTTCAACTCCCAACACCAGACTCTTCTCAGCCACTCATCATGGCCAAAGGCAGCGCCTCTGATCATGACGGGGAGCTCATCAAGGCTTGGGCCTCCTTGTCCACGTTGTTGCCATCCCGCGGCCCAGACTGCGACTATTGGTGGCAGCTTACGGGGATGCATCTGGCCAGCCTGATGGAAGCGGCCGGATACGCAATCGAGAGGCAATACGAGGCTCTTTTGTTTCACTACCACTGGATGGTAAGCTTGCGTGCTCAAGTGCCCATCATCTTCTGACACGCTCTCTTCAAGATACCTTACATGGGCCCAGCACCAGGGCCCGACGGGAGACTCGAATGGCCAACTCCGCTCACAGTGGAAGGGCTTCCAGTAGAGTACTCCTGGAAATGGAATACTGCCACCAGACGACCCGTAGTTCGCTACACCATCGAGGCCAAGAATGGCTTCACTGGAACGTCCATGGATCCGCTGAACCAGGATCCGTCGCGGGAGCTCCTCCATCGCCTTCAAATGGCGCTACCTGGTGTCGATCTGACGTGGTATAACCACTTCTTGGCCACCCTCTACGATCATGACCGATCCAAGTACGCAGACGAGGTTGCGGCAGGCGCAGAATACACCACGTCAATCATGATTGCAGCCGAGCTTGAAGCGGATGGTCTATCGACCAAGACGTACTTCATTCCCCAAAAGGTTGGTCTGAGTCTAGGCGACTTGCCCGTGTCTTCTCTGATGAAAGCAATTGCGGGGGTTTGCCCTGAAAGCGCAGCCAAACGTATGCTTGAGGAATTTCTGACCACCTTTGACGGAATCCTTCGGCCAACGTAAGATTTCTTCTACTTGAACCCCCCGCCTCGCTTAGCGGCTATTAACCGTCCATGTCTCAGAATGCTGGCCGTCGACAATGTCAAGCCATCAGAGTCACGGCTCAAGTTCTATTTCCAGTCACCTCGCACTGATTTTTCGTCGGTGCGGGACATCATGACGCTTGGCGGTCGCGTTGCGATCCCCGAGACGCAGTTGCAGGACCTGAGAAGCCTTCTCAACGCTGCTGCTGGCGTAGACGACGACTACGCCGAGGACGTCGAGTTGCCCTTGGCAGTGCAGTTCAACCCCCCGATAACCAATGCGCGTGAGGAGAAGACTCTGGTGCTGCCCGGCTTCGGCTACTACTTTGATATTGCGCCGGGACGAGAATATCCAGAGGTGAAGATCTTTCTGAGATTATCCGCCTACGGGCAGGATGACTTGAGCATGGGGCGAGGCATCACTGCATGGATGGCTGCACATGGTAGAGGTGAATACTGCCACGACTACATGTCAGCACTAGAAACTCTTCCCCACGGCAGGCAGCTAAGCGAAGGCAAGGGAGTGCATACTCATGTCAGCTGCCTATTCAAGAAGGATGGAACCCTGGACATTACGTCTTATTTGGTTCCGGAAATCTCGTCTCGACCTCGGATGTTGTATCAGAGCCAAGCATAAACAGAGCGAGCCCTCCGCGCCGAGGTTGTCTCTGGTTAGCGCATAACGGAACAATTTCTGAAACTGATGATTATGTCGGTCGTTTAGTCTGTGATTTGGTTTAGTTTTATTCAGATATATTAATAATTTGGGACGACGTCGAAGTGAAAGTTGCTGTCGTACCAATGCTTCGTATTTTCCACGTCCAAGTGTAATCATGGGACAAATGTTGGAAGGGACTGGTTTAGTTCTGTCTATGAAAGACGTAGCCTTGCACTACTTTCTGTAGCAAGAGGCATGATGTGATGCATTCACTCTTTTCTGACCCACATAGATGGCGACGACGAGGAATATTCTCGACTGTTTGCAGTGACAGCTGTCGTAGATGTAAATGAGGCAACTGACGATTCGAATGAACTACTACTCTCTATTGCGCACACATGACACCGCCACGCAACCTCCCCTACCTCCTCGTTCTTCCAGCCGACGGTCCTGGCTACTTGTTACACGGATAACACGTTGCCATGAAGGCACGGGATGAGCCTTGAACCCGACGATAGTTACAAAAGGGCTCTGATCACGAGACCTAGGGCAAGGTCTCTCACTAACTCTTGATATAAATAAAGGTCTTCCGCCCTCGGGGCTTCAAGGAAAACCAAGGACCTTTGATATCCAAGCAAAGTATTAGTTGAATTGAGTAATTGCTCCAAGCCTAGCCCTTGTCACACTACTATCGGACACAAATCATCCATCCAGAGATGGAAGGATGCCGTCGTCAACTACATTAATGAGGCGGCCAGATGATATCAGTCCCGATGCGACATCTATATCACGCGCCATGAAACGATCCTCCATCAACTTGGGGATTACAGCTCTGACAGCCGCGTGGACCAACTGTAGTTGGCGGCTGGAAACAAGCGGTGCCCTAAGATCGATCCCTTGCGCCGCAGCTAGTGTTTCAATGCCAATAATGGTGAAGAGATTATCCGTCATCTGAAGCAGGCGACGCGCGCCGTGGCATGCCATAGAAACGTGGTCTTCTTGGTTTGCCGAAGTTGGCGTGGAGTCGACGGACGCGGGATGGGACATTTGCTTGTTTTCCGCCATGAGCGCCGCCGCAGTGATTTCCGCCGCCATGAAGCCGCAGTTCACGCCGGGCTTTTGCGTGAGAAAAGCGGGCAGTCCGTAGCTCAGCGAGGCGTCGACGAGCATGGCGATGCGACGCTGAGAGATTGACCCAAGCTCGCAAACAGCCATGGCGATGTGATCGGCGGCGAATGCCACTGGTTCAGCGTGAAAGTTGCCCCCAGAGACTATCGTGCCATCGGATAATATAAGCGGATTATCCGTGGCGGCATTGGCCTCGATGACGAGTGTTTTGGCGGCTTGTCGGAGGACGTCTAGACAAGCTCCAGCGACCTGAGGCTGGCAGCGAATGCTGTATGGATCTTGCACCCGAACATCGTTCTTTTCGTGACTGGCGCGTATTTCGGAACCTTGCAGTAGCGAGTGCAGCGCGGCGGCCACGTCAATCTGGCCGCGATGGCCGCGCAATTCATGGATTTCCGGGCGAAAGGGCGTTGTCGAGCCCATGGCGGCGTCTGTTGACAAGGCTCCAGAGATCAAGGATGACGCCAATGCACGATGTGCTCGGAAGAGCCCGGCCAGCGCGAGGGCAGTTGACACTTGGGTCCCGTTGATCAGGGCAGCGCCCTCTTTGGCCTGAAGAGTCACGGGGGAAAGATTGGCCTTGAGCAAGCCTTCTCGGGCGGGAAGAATACTCTCGGCGTACCTGACAGAGCCCTCGCCTATAAGCGCTGCTGCTAGATGTGACAAGGGCGCAAGATCTCCCGATGCTCCAACTGACCCCTTCTCCGGGATAATTGGAAGTACGCCCTTTGCCAACATTTCGGCTAGAAGTCGAATGATCAGAGGCCTCACCCCAGATGCCCCTCGACCCAGGGACATCAGCTTAAGCGTCATGATGAGGCGAACAACCTCGTCAGCCAAGGGGGGGCCAACACCACAGCAATGTGACATGATGACATTTCTCTGCAGCGTGCTGGTATCTTGGGCAGCGATGGATATATTGGCGAGTTTGCCGCCGCCAGTATTGATGCCATAATGGGATGAAGAGGATTCGCTAATAGCAGCAGAAACTATATCCGCTGAGACCTGGGCGGCCTCGGTGACTGCCTGGTCGATTCTTGGTGTCCAGCCGCGCTCGTAGACGGCCTGGAGTGTGTGCAGCGACACTCTGCCGGGGTCAAGCGTGAAGAAGGTCATGTTGATGGTACTGATGGAGACGGAATATGACGCATATCCTGGTAACAAGAGTTGGACAAGGGAAATGCTCTTCTTATGTGAGAGTGATTAATCATCAGTGAATGTCATACCATGGCCACGCGAAGCAGACGGCGAATCTTGTCATGGGGCTCATGATACTCACTCACCTGCTTATTACCATTCAGTGGCTGACTTGGCCATTGGGGGCCAGCGTGGCACACTGCATGTCATCACTCGCTGACCTCAATGTTACTACGAGTGGTTGATTACCATCAGCAGCTGACTTGGCCAAAGGCTCGTGTGACAGACTTTCATGTTGCTGTTGGAAACTGAACGAGGGGGAAAACGTCACGTGAGGAGAAAGGAATGGGTAATCAAGCATGTATTTATAGTGACGAGACCCCGCAGGGATCCAGCCGTAAGCTGGGAGGGAGGTCAAGCCTAACAAGGTTGAACATGGTAAACACATCAATACCATTGACACTTCCACTGAACACTTATTCACCGTCGATGCTACACTGGTGACTGGAGTCTGGATTGACTTTGCCAGATTATCCGGGCTAGAAGCGATAAAGATTACATTTGCCAGAAAATTCAACGTCTACAGCCCCTTGTTGGACACCGTCTAGGCCAATATCGCAAAAATGGACTACGAAACAATGAACCGTGCCAGCTGGGATGAGCGCGCGCCAGCAGTACGTTCAATGTTCCGTCGTCGATGCCCAATGCCACACGACTCCATCTAATCTTGCATACCTGCAGCACGTCACATCTCCAGATTACGAAATCAAGCATTACATCTCCGACCCTAGCTTTATCGGACATGTCGTAAAGTTCGATCGCCCGTACCTTGGCGACATTACCGGACTCGACTGCATACACCTGCAATGTCACATCGGGACCGACACACTATCTCTTGCTCGCCTTGGCGCCGCTTCAGTAACAGGGCTTGACTTTTCTGCGGCGGCAATCACGGCGGCGCAGGAGCTTGCTGCTCAAACAACCGGTAGTGGCGGCGAGAAGCTTACATTTGTCGAAGCGTCTGTATTTAATGCTTTAAACATCTTGCCGCCAGGCAGCTTTGACCTCGTTTACGTTAGCATTGGCTCCTTATGCTTTATGCCTATAATGAAAGAATGGGCCAAAATTATCACTGGCCTTTTGAAGCCAGGCGGGCGGCTCTTTCTCCGCGAGTTCCATCCGGTATTGTGGTCTTTGGATAGGGAAAGCTCTCGGGATTTAATCATCAGCACTCCGTATTTTGAGCGTCAAGAACCGACTATTCTTGAGGCGCCGAGATCTTACGCTGACTCGACAGCGGGCCAGGATTTTAAGCTGACTACCTTTGCTATATATAACCATGGAATCGGCGAGGTTACACAGGCGCTGCTAGAGGAGGGAATGAAGTTGACGTTGCTAAAGGAGCACCAGAGTGCGCCGTTGTTGAGTATGCTGAGACCACTCATGGTCAAGGAGAATGGTGAGTCGGCGCTTGAGCAGTACGTGCATACGGCGCTAATATGTGCACAGGAGAATACTCTTTGAAGGACCGGCCGTGGCGGCTGCCTCTTTCCTACACGATACAGGCTGTTAAAGAGTGATGGCATCTCTCAGGTTCCGCTCCCTAGTCAGGGGGTCCTGGTTATAGAGGGGTTGGAGGGCTGACCAAAGACATGAATAAATGTTGATGCAGTTTATAGCCCTTGCTCCAAGCAAGAACTGAGCTTCTAAAGCGTTTTATGCTGGCCAACAGAGCTAGATTGGCTTCTATACAAGTGGGGAGTCTGGGCACTTGGTGAAGTTGTCAATTCCTCGCCATGTTCCATGTTGGATGTGTGGCGAGATGCAGGTGGCTATTATTTCTACACTCCCAAATATAGCATGATTGAACGTGCGCTTGTTATATGACCAGTCCACGCACGGCATCCAATGTTCCGCTGGCCAAGGCGTTATACGATAGGATGTACAAGTGAGCTCAAATATCTGCGTAGGAAATGAGTATGAGTTGGCAAGATATTTGGCTGGTTTTAAACGCTGCATTATTGCCAACGACGAATATCCCGTGCTTGCCACACCGGCCACGAACATAGAATAGTGTCTGAACCATCGACATGTACGCCACGCAAACTTGTATCATTTCTTCATAGCTTCGTATACACTAGGCATTATAATTCAGCCACTTTGACAATGTCATCATGTGACAAGGGCCTAGTATTCAGGGGCTTAGAATAACATTCATATTCAACTAATACTTTGCTTTAATATTAAAGATCCTTAATTTTTCTTAAAGCCCTAAGGGTAAAAGACTTTTATTTATATTAAGAGGTAATAAAGGAGCTTACCCTAGGTCTTATGATCAGCCCTTGTGTAACTATCGTCGGGATCAAGGTCCGGCCCGTGCCTTCATGGCAACGTGTCATCCGTGCAACACATTAGATTCCGAGTCCCCCCTTTCTGTAACATGCGCACCTTTAGTGGACGTTATATCCTCCAGCTCAGCGCACAACCCCTGGACCTCGGCCACGGTATTATAGTGAACAAAGCTGACGCGGATGATGCCGTCGCTGTGCGGCCTCAGAACGTCAAATGTTGGCCGTGGCGCCCAGCAATCGCCCCAGGTGATCCGGAACCGGTCGCGAACATGAACCTGCATGACAATGTCACTGGACTGCCGCCCAAGCACCTCGAATACCACAATCGACACTCGATGACTCGGATCTGCCGTATGCTTCCCAAACACTCGATATACCGTGGGTCGGCTGAGGAGATAGTCCAGCATGACTTTGGTCAAGACCGTCTCATGCTGGATGATGGCGTCCCATCCAAGATCCCCCAGATACTTGGCGATGGGGCCACACATTGCTTCCAGCTCGAAGCAAGCCGCCCCCAGGTGGATTTTGCCGTCAAGCGTGGCGTGGTCGCGCCAGAAATGGTTGATGCTCGTCATGTAACGATCCTGTGCCCGCCGGTGTGCGTATAGCTGCGCCATGTGCGGCCCGAATACCTTGTACCAACTAAAACAGTAGAAATCGACGTCGAGAAATTTGACATCAACGGGCCGATGGGGGATCCAGGCAACGCCGTCCACGGCGATGACGCAGCCAGGGATGGTATGAACGAGGCGGGCCAGCTCTCGGATGGGATGTATCGTGCCCACCACGTTGGAAACGTGATTGCAAGTGACGATGCGTGTTTTGGGAGTCAAAAGAGGCCGGAGTGAGTCGACGGTGAGGCAGGGGTCGTCTTGCCCATCTTGTGACGGCGTCCACCATTTGATGGTGATGCCTAGGCTTCGGGCAAGATGGATCCAGGCACTTGCAGAGGCTTCATGGCACAGCGTAGAGCAGATTATCTCTGCATCCGAGCCGAGATGCGGCCGCAGCGACTGGCCCAAGAGCCGTAGCAAAGCGGTGGTGGACTGTCCAAAGGCTGATGGAGCCGGCCTCGCGAGTAAGTGCTCGAGTATACAGAGGGCTACACAAGACCGGGCGAGGCGTTATACGTACCAATCTCGGACGGCTGGGCATTGACAAAGGCTGCGCACTGGCGCCAATTGTTCGAATATTCAGCCCGGGCTGCGGTGCTTCGTGGATCTCCGAGTCCGTGGTCAATTGGCATTCCATTCATGAGGTCGCTCGCCCTGGCCATCTCGTTCAGTATTCACTTGTATCATTGAAAACTAACTGTACCTACGCTTCTATGGCCTCCTTGAGCACAACGGTACCTGCTGCGTTGTTGAACGGCACAGTCTTCCCACTGAGGACAGGAAAGTGAGGTCGGACTCGGCCCATGTCAATCACGTCGCTGACAGATTCGCCGGCCGTGACAGCGTAAATAGCGCACTGCGCGGATTCCGATTTGGAGCTGCCATTAGGATGCGAGGGAGCATTAGTGGACGAGTCATGTTGGCCGTCTTTGGGCTCGTTGCTCCAGGCCATTTTGATAAGAGGAGATTGACAACGACGTATCGAGCAAAAGCCTGCTGTGAAACAAAGTTTCTGTGTACAGGGAGGGACGGTAAGACCGTTGACACTAGACTTTTCTCAAAGATCATGGTTACGACTACAATACTACATCAACAGCTCTCGTCACGTGTTACACGGAACATTGAAATGGCCGAGTGTCAAAGGTTACACAAGGGCTTCGGTCACGAGACCTGGGGCAAAGTCCCTCACGTATTCCTCCCGAGACATGCTTAGCAATGATACCATGGCGTCAAGTTTTGCGGGCGGTGCCGTCCTCCAGGGGTGGTTGTCTCTTTTCAATTATCATGGATGGCATGCGTTTGTTGCCGGTACAGTCATTCAAGTCCTGCAGATTCCAGGAACATACTTTGTTGCCGATCCCGCAAACGGGTTTGAAAAGGTCGACCCTGCGAATCGGCCATGTCCGGATCGACAAGCTCCCGATACATCCCAAAAGTTTGTCACCTCCATAGCTACGCGGACAATAGTTGTGCTCAGCGCCGGATATGCCTGACTAGGCCTGGTGGGATTCATAGCTATTGGTATGTTGGATGTGTCGAGCTGTGTAGCCACGGTCAAGGTGGGAGACCGTGTATCAAAGGGCCAGGAAATGGGCAGCTTTCATTACTCCGTACGGCGGCAGTTCTTGCGGCATTGAATAAGATGGCTGAGGAGACCTGTTACACGGATGGCACGTTGCCATGAAGGCACGGGCCGAACCTTGAACCCGACGATAGTTACACAAGGGCTCTGATCACAAGACCTAGGGCAAAGCCCCTCACCGCTTCTTGATATAAATAAAGGTCTTCCGCCCTCAGGGCTTTAAGGAAAATAAGGGCCTTTAATATCAAAGCAAAGTATTAGCTGAATGCGAAAAGTTGTTCCAAGCCCCTAATACTAGGCCCTTGTCACAAGACCAGAAGAAAAGAAGGAGCCGATGTTGATTTTGTGTCTCTGCCTGTGAACTGTGTAGGTATTCACTTTGGCGTTGCGACAACCAGCAGCTCTGTCTCGATTGTGGCTTCTAGTTTTCACCATGAACATTATTGTGATGGCCAGGTGTTCCAACAAATTTCCTGTTCTAAAAAGAGACATATGGCTCGGTCACCATCTATATGACGATAACAAGTATTCCGAATCAGTCTATAATAATCTACCTTAAAAAGTACATACCAAATTGCTAATCAATAAGAGCCCCTCATACTCCACTTACATGATCCGTTCTTAACACCAAGTGGCGTTAACATTAAGAGAACAGGCCTTTTCTAATTACGCCTGGCAACACTCTCTCCAACATCTATCAATGGACGTCAATGAAAAACCTAGGCCTTCCATGCATTCAACAACCAGTATCACCTCTACAGCATTTAAACATGAAATATGACAGATGCCACACGCTGTTGGCTCTCCCTCACGAACTCCGTTACAACTCTGTCTTTTCAGCCTTGAGGACGGGCTCTTCCGCGGAGCCGTCCTTTTCCATCTCACGCTGCACAATCAGGGATATTGCCTCATACGCAAGATTTGTCGCAGCAAAAGCCGTATCGCCCCCGGCGTCGTAGGCAGGGGTGATGACAATGTCCACACCCACCACATTCAAGTCTGACAGCACCGTCATGACCTTTATCAGTGTACACTGAAGCGGATATGCGCATCTTGCCAGTTCTTCTTGTCTCACTTTGTATCCTGTGCCCGCCCTGATGGCTGCGAAGCCTGTCAGTCCCACGAACAGACGACTGCGGCAAGCTTGCAGATGCCAAAGACTTTGATTATCTTTCTTGGTGGCGAGGGCAGTTTCCTAACCCTGACATAGCTAAGGAACCTACTCCAACTTCCTTGGTTACACGTCAGGAATTTGCGGCATGTACTCCGTAGTTATTTCGTCATTCATCAAGAGTCGTCCAACGCCTATTGCCGCAGCCATCATTGGCCTAATCCTAGACAACGGTCGTGTCATGTTGGTGTGAGACACGGGAAAACATCCAGAGCGGGCAACGTGGCAGATGGAGTGGCTTTGTTCTGAAAAACATAAATTGGGCCTATTCCGGTGGTTGATATGGACGCCACTACGTGATCTCGGATGCTCACGACCGTTCGCAGAGATCGAGAGTGAACCGTCATCTCTGTCCAACCACTCAGCAGATCAGGGAGCCTGTCTGGTATAGTCGACGGCCCGTAGGCTTGGTTCCGTCACTGTGGCTGTACTCTTGCAGGTAGAACGTTGGTGCAACCCCAACGTGTAACCCAGGGAGAACTTTGAACTCTCGGTCTGGAGGGGTTCAGCTCTCCTTTATTAGTGCCTGATGCCGCCCATGATGGGTGGTGCCACAGCATACCCTTCAATATTGACAGCTATCCACTTAATATCAATATGTACGGAGTACGGAGTAGTCCAAGTCCATCCCTGGGCCTGACAGCATGGACCCACTTCGGCCCGAATTCCCGACCAGTTTCACAGCCATGTGGACCTCCGTGATGCCGGCTTTTTGATAAGTCTAGAGAGAGTAGAGGGTCCTCTGTGGGGGCATTATGCTATTCAATGGCATGATAACGGGCCGGGTCTGCGGGGTCCGGGGTCCAGACGGCCCAGCCAGCGTTGGCTCACGTTCTGGCTCCGAAAGAAGATGGGTATTAGTCCCGAGTCCTAAGAGTGAATAAAAGCAAGTGCAAGTGAGTAACGCATGTATATTCTGATAACAGATGTTGGATCCCACGATCCAATGGCGATTATGGCATCGTGTATGTCGATATTGTCACGCGCTTGATTCGATGGTAACACAGTAGCACACCAACATACGCAACAGTATATATAAACGTACTAAGCTATCCACAAGGGTCTTGGATACTCGTAGCAGTAAAGATCAGTTCGGAAACCAGACAGCTCCTGAACAACGGTGATGCTAAGAATAGAGGGATAGAGTATCAATGCCAGACCACATTTGCGGTGCGAACGGCTGGTCCCAGACTCGCAGCCAAAATGTCCCGTCTCTTCAAGTCAGTCGGTCAATATGTATCCAACACGAACACCAAACCTCGCATCGACCGCATGCTGCTGAGAAGACATATGTGATACGCTATCCATCTCTGACTAGATGCAGTCTTGTTGCCCAAGATGCCCTGTCCGAGAAGCTGTTGCAGAGGAGATCCGGCCGAGACGAGACGCCAGGGCCGCTCCATTAGAACTTGCTTCCTCCTCATTTCCTTCTTGCAACCCAAGACACAGTTGCCAGTATTTCCAAGACTTTCTCCTCTTGATCCGGTCCCTCGCCATGACATCGCTCGACAGCGCCATCGGCGGCATGGACCCGGATGAAACGGTGGCCTTCTCGGACAGCGAGACGGCCCAACCAGCGGGCAATGAGACGGCTTCGCAAACGCAAAACACGATGGGCAAAGCCCAGTTCGATCGCGTATTCCAATGCAACGTTGAAGGCTGCGAGAAGAGCTATTCTCGTGCGGGACATCTGTATCGCCATCAACTAAACCGCATGTTCACCATCTCCTCGAAACAATCTTGAGGCTGAGCACTCAACCTTGCGCACTCGACGGCTCCCAGTAGATGCCCCCAAAAAGTTCTATCCGTGCAACTTCCTCGGCTGCTACCGAGTATTTGTGCGGCAAGACCTGTTCGCCCGGCACCGGGAACGACACAAGAGGCGAAACGCCAGACTGCACGAAGTAATTACTTTGCCCAGATATCGTCCGGAGACACCAGTCCGCCACTCCCTCAACCTGCGTCGATCCCCTCGTCCAATACCAACCCCCGATGGCGTCGGTCATCGACGGCAGGGTCGCTGGTGTCCCAGGCGAGAAACCAGCCAAATCAACACAGCGCCGGTTTATTACCATCGTCCCCGTTGGCCGGGGTGAATCGGGTGTTTGGCTTTCAGCACACAAGCTCTCTCCCAAATCAGACGTGTAACCTCCCCGATGGGCAGGATGTCTCGCATATTCCCGTTCAAGGGCAGCGCCTGGCGTCCACGGCCGTCGCCTCATGTGAGTCCGGCCACGGCGACGAGCTTCGATCTTCCATGCCTGAAGCAATTCAAGTATTCGCCAGTCAATCGCAGGACCTGCGCGCCGTCTTTCCAATCCCTACTGAGCTCAGGGGCTCACCCACAGCACACCAGGGCTTTCCAATCTCGGTCAATGGGTACTCGGATATCCCTCACGCCGGTAACCTCGTTAGAATCGGCATCAATAGCTCAAGACAAGGGACTCAATGTACTGGATTCCATGTTGAGTTCAACCGCCCCCGTCTTGACAGCTGTAAACCCCGGATTTGACTCCCTCCCCAGTCTAGCTACCCGACACTTGGTGGAGAGACATACAGCCAGCCTCCCTTTGCCATGGAGGATGATTTCACAGCGTGGTTGTTCAACGAATCATCTGTACCCTCGTCGTCAGTCGCATACCCGTCATGGAGAGGCGTAGTCCCCAGCTACCTGGATGCTGCTCAGCTACAAACCCGGACCCATGAGTTGTCACTAGGCGGAGGCATCTCACACCGGCCCATGAGTGTTGCGAGGACGTCGGATCCCGGGTCGCCACGTACCGTCATGTCGGACGATAAGCTCCAGGAGCTCCTGCACCTTATGGCGACGCGATTCAACAAGGCTGCGTGCTCGACAGCGACCACTCGCAAAGAGTCTTTTCTAGGGGGTGATGTGAATAACGATAATCACATCATAAGCCTGCGCATGACGCGAACATACATCGAATCCTACTGGTACCACTTCCACCTGCAGTTGCCCATCTTGCATCGCTCGGCCTTTGTCGCTGATCACGCGCCCAACCTCCTTCTCCTGGCTATAATCGCCATTGGCGCGTCGACACTGGATCGTATCCACGGCCCAGAAGTAATCGAGACAGTTCTCCGAGTTGGCCAATTTCATCGTCTAGCATCTCCGATGGGAGGTATTCTGGACGCCGAGTTTCAGGCCCCGACCAAACTCTGGGTATACCAGGCCCTGCTGCTCATAGAGGTCCACGAGAAGATGTATTCCACGCGCTTCCTCCACGAGCGGGCGCACATCCACCACGACACCACACTGGCTCTGATGCGACGCGGCGGCTTGTTCATCGGGCGCTCCGCGCACTGCTCGGCAGACGACCGGCTGGGCTCGAACACGACGCCTAACTCTGCGCTGGACAAATCCTCGACACACTGGATCAGGGCCGAAGCCACGCCGAGAGTCGTCTTTGCAGCCCTTGTGCTGGATTCGACACACGCCGCCATGTTTGGACAGCCTGTCAAGATGACGGCGCACGGGAAATTCGCGAGAGAATAGCGCCGCTCTTGAAAAGATGGCTGAGCGGTGGGCCGTCGAGGCCTCAGCCAGGGAAGCCGCCTTTTACGTCTTGAAGTTCCTGTCCGAGTTTTTGCTGCACGGAGCTTCCGAGGACGAGGACGCGTACTTGAGACGGGACGACTGCAACGTCAACCGGCCGAGGGTCATGTACATGGCGGCGTTGGTCGTGTGGTGTTATGGGATTGCGGTGGATGCACCGATCCTGTTGCCGCCCGCTCTGGCGACGGCGGCTGAGCAACGCCGCGATATGCTCGAGTTCCTGGGGCGCGTGGGCGGCGTGCGATCGCTTATGATCTACAGGGGATGCGACGGCGCAATCGGTGTCTAGGGCTGTTGATGATTCTGCGCGACGGATTTGTCAAGACGCGATGGGAGCTGTTGACAGAAGCCGCCAGTTTGCTAAGCAACTGCATTGCAAAGCTACGAGGCCGACAACACCAGGGGTGTTTGTGAAATACGCCATCTGCCGCTAGTGTCACCTCAGAATGCGTATAGATATGATGAGCTATAGTCGTCTCTCAAATAGTTAGGAATCAAGCACAACTCTGACTTGGGAATTCTTCATACCATCCTGAACTGGTGACGAAAGGGCAATACGGCAGACCCTCCCTGCGGCCGCCTACGAATTTGAACATTCTTATTCCGTCCTCGGGATGTGTAATTCATGACTTTATTTTATTTTCGTCATATTGTGGCGCATTAGTGTCTGAAGATTTCCCATCATCTACTGGCCACTACCACCTTGCACGACAATTCATTTCAATCGCCATTCGCGCAGCACTCGCCGTCCACAATGACAGACGCTGTATTGCGATCAGTTGCCACATTCAAGGCCGGGTTGGCGTCGAAAAAGTCAACCGGCCGCAAATGCAACTCGTGACGCTCCACGGGCATCACCGGCCAATCCTCCACTCGAGGGGAATGCGTAAAGCCGAAAACGGCCCAGACAACCACATCAGTGTTCTAAACGTCGTCATTGCGGGCCGCCGCGTCGTAACAGCCCCCTTCTTCCTCGCGTGACATGTTGGTGAACTCGCCGCCAGCCCAGAACTCGTAGTCTGCGTGTCGCGTCACCCAGACGTGGTGTCTGGCATACTTGGCGCGGCGGCCAATGTCGGACGCTGCATCCGCCATGAGCACTTGCGTAGGCGCCGGGAAATTTATACGACACCGCGCGGCCAGAGACGGGGTTGATCTTGGAAGGGTTGGATATCTTGACCACGCGGTTGGTCAACGGCGAGGCGTCAATATGCGTGGACTAGGTAATGGTTGTGGACTGCACCTCGTAGCCGTTGCCGTATGGATTCCTCGTCGGCTCCATCGGCATGGGTAAGGAATCCTCCACGGTTACCGTGTTGGCATGCCCATCAATGGCCGGATCGATGCGCACGGCAAAGATGTGTTGATGTTCTGAGGTAAAACACCCGGCCCCACGACGGTGCCGTACGGCGACGTGATTCCCGTAGGGCGTGCCTCGAGATATATGCCTCCTGCCAGGTCCAGGTAGTAGGAAAAGATGTGTTCATAGTTGCCCAGCGTGATGGCGTATTAAATGGCCGGCTTGCGGTTACGCAGAACCACAGCACGGTCCGTCAATAAGTTAGCATGTTTCCATAGGATCCCATCGTCGACCTCGTGAATACAGCAGACATTTCTGGCAAGACAGGGCTATCCGCTTGGGGTGACGAGGTTGGTATCTATATACTTGATTGCACCCAGACAGTCACCGCCTAGTCCAAGGTTATTTGCGGTGCGGTCAGCTCCAGCGTCGCCGTAGTCAAAGGCCTATTTACGGTGGTAAGGGGGCCGGGGATCACAGTAAGGCACCGTCAGCTCGCTAAAGGGCAGTCGATGCACAACGCTGCGGTTGTCAAAGTGGATTTCATGGAGCACTACGCATTCCCGAGGCGTAAAGGAGCTGCACAGCCGCCACTTCTGCCACTCCAACAGGCTGTTGTCCGTTACGGTGAAGGAGGCGCCCTCTGGCTGTAGCACATTCAGTGCTTTGAAGTCGGAGCATACGGGCTGAGTGAGTATCTCTGGTACATAATCTGCTGGCTTGCAGTGTTCCGTGGGCTTCTTGGGGGCAGCACGATCCGGTCCAGTGATTTTCAGAGCAAGTCATTATCTTGACCACCGTAACATCCCGTTGGGAGCCGTTCGACACGAACAAGTTGCTTGGTGACTGTTTCCATAACGGGGCAGATGGGGAGTGGGAAGCAGTAATGATTCACGTCATGATTGCGTTTGGTCATGTCTCGAGCAAAGCAAAAGAGCTGCATGAGGCGAGCGGTGTAGTCGTCTCCAAAATCCGAGCCCCCATATGGCCAAGGGTCAATGGTCACCTCCCAGCCAAGTGGAAGTTCCACCTCCGCCACGATGCGCTGCTGGCGAGAGCATTGTCAATAAACTCTTGGAACTCGTCGACGGTGAATGAGGCTCGTTGTTTTGGGTGGAGGCACCGCTTGTCGACCTCTTCGCCTGTAACCAGGTCTGTGTGGATTCCATGTACGATCGACTCCCATCATGCTCAATCATGTCGTACTGAGCACGAGCACGGCGAGGGGGCCGGGGGTGTCTGCACAGAGAGTGCCGGCATGCTCTGCGTCGAGATGAGGGATGAGCTGGGCCTTGGGGGGTTCGGGGTTGAAGATGTTTCGAAAAAACAATCCCCTTTTACGCGCGCGTCTAATAGCCGCGCTGGCCAGTACAATTTCATCCGCGGAAAGCGAGTCTAGGAGTGTAAAACACTCATGGTGCATGGCAAAGACGGTAGCCTGGTATGAGGTTGTTTATTAAAAGATGTGGATAGGAAAATAAATGTAAAAATAAAAATACAAATTATTAGAGATAGAGTACATATGTAGTTGTTATTTGTAGAAACCAGAGGGCATCCTGCCAGCGATGGAAGGAGCATGGCTTCATTGTGCGTATTTCTACTGGCAGATGGCCTAGACTGCTCAGACGAGTAGAGTCTGGTCAAGTCTGCTATCAACCATCAATCGATCAATGGATCACTGCCCACCCATCCCTGGCAGCTCCCCAGCGCCACAGTTGCTGTCCTCGCCTGCATGTAGAGAGACTTGACACATCAATTGCGGCTAGAACCCAACTCTGGGCGGGATCGCGGGGATTGGGTCCCGCTGGCGATTTAGTTTCCAAGCGGCACTGGGCACATACCTTGGCAGTCCATCTCCCCAGACATCGACCCCAACACCCGCGCCGCGGCCATCCACCCAAACATTGAACCCACCCAGGGCCTCGGCCCTAACCCTAACCCAGGTAACGCATGACCCGCGGGTTGGTTCAAGACGTCTCCGGCAAACACCACAGCATAGCATGCAAAGCACTGAGCAGTAGCGATGACTTGGCCCAGCATGCTTTCGTTTTTCAATTTTTTAATTCTAGCTTTCTACCATTCTCTTGGGAAAACGCAACAAGAGCAACTTGCTGGCCTCCATTTGCCCATCCACCGTGGCCCAGTCCAACGTCAAACAGCAACTCCTTCACTCTGTCGAGTGGACCAAGGCGCAGCGAGGCGAGGCCTACGACGGCAATATGCCGGAGCTAGTGGCCGCACGGCAGCGGTGTATGCGCGCCTGCGATGCGCTCAACGACTCAAGGGACTATTCCCGGTGTAACCGGGTCGAGCTCTGGAGAAGGTGAGATGAGAGTCGCCATGTTCCGCATGGGCGAGCACCCATTATCCATGTTGTCGCAGGGAGCCCTGCCAGGATAATCCGCAAGATCACTACTGCCATGGACGAGACGAATAAGGGGCTGGGTTGACTTTTTTATTATTTCTTCTTGTCTAATATGGAAGCCTCGGCGTGGTTCTATACTATGACGGCACCTTGGGTTTATAATCGCCAGTGCCAGGTCTATGCATGCTCTATGTGATGGAGGGGTGGAACTAAAGACAAGATGAGACATGTCGTATAAAGGGGCGCTCTGATGTCAGCATGACGGATGAAAAAACGGCATACGAGTATAAAGAGGCCCTGGGCCGAAGTAGCATACCGTCAGCCCGGTGGTCCTGAGTCCTAGCAATCGAGTCCTCGTCGCCTCGTAAGGACCCCTTAGTGCTTAAAACAGCGTCTTCACTTTTGTCCCGTTGTTGGGCAACTTGGCCCTTAGTAACGCACCAGGCTTTTGTCTGAGGTCGGTGCCATTGTTCCACATGGGCTGGTATGGCAACTGATTGATGATGATGTAGATGTATCCATCTTCCGAGACAGACAGTCCGTCTGGCCAGATGATGCGCGGGTCCCGGATAAAAGGGGCGACTCTCAGCGTCGTAGGGTCGTAGGCGTACACTGCGTTCTGCTCCGGCATTGCCTGGTAAATGAAGCCGTTGGAGTCTCCCTCAAACCCATTTCCATTTCCGCCACGCTGGCCCAGGTTCCGAACGGCGCTGTTGGCAGCTTGGATGCATGCAGGCGAGGTATGGTCAAGAAGGTACTTTGTCTCAATGGAAAACAAGTAATCCGATGTCATGGACGAAAAGAAAAGGGTTGAGCCAGTGAGATCGAGCTGAATTCCATCGAGTCCTTGCGGCAAATGTGTGAAGGGTCCTGTAGGGGTTTCTTGATAGAACGGCATGCCCTGATAGCTGGGGACAACGCCATATCCAGATAATCCAGCTGGATGTCGGTCCAAATGGCGCCAGGATTCGCCCGTTCCCAGATCGAGAACAATAATGCCGTTGCGTCCCTCGGGAGACTCATCGCTGAGGTATGCGACGCCTTGACCAGATGTGGTGATGTTCTCCCTAAAGTCAAATCGCATATCGTTGACAGAAGAGTCTGGGTAGCTGACGGTTGATGGGAAGAGGTAGGTCCGAACGATGGTATCATTGTCCAGGTTTACTGCCACAAGCTTTGCCCCCCCTTGGCGGCAAAACAGTCAGTGCTCTATCACCTGGAGAAATTCTCTTGGGATGCGAGATACATACCTGGGAGACCGTAGGCCATCTGCGACGCATCATTTGGACGACCTGTATCCAACACCCACAGTGTCTCTGATCGGTTGGCCGTTTTCGGCGTCACATATAGCGCTTGCACGCTGATGAATCCAGTCGAATTCTGTGAACCAAACAATGTCCCGTCAATTGTCTGTGTAGAGTTCGCAGAGGGAACATTGTACTGCGGGAGGTAGGCCTTCTCGGCGGTAGAGTTCACCACCTCGCCCAAAGTGAAGGAGACGTTGCCCGGATAATATGACACGAAAATTCGTCCCTTGCTAGACACCGCAAACCCCACGGGCCAGTCCTGGTAAAAGTAATGGGCCTCCTCGATGGCAGGGCCATAAGAACCAGTATCGACTCGGAGAATAGTGTTGGACGTATTTTGGAATGTTATCGGCGAGTTGGCAAAGGCGAGCTGAGTTATAAGAGAGGACACTAATGGTAATGATGCCTTCATCCTAATAGCATTTGAGTAAACAAGCGGAAAGGTACTATGATGGTGCACTGCAGCGGTTATGCTACAGAAAGGAGACGACGAATGCCAAGGACGGTCGCAAGTCTGACATCTGGTAGCCTCAAGCCTCGTTTTGTTTTCACTTTTGAATAAAACTACCAAGAAAATTCCCGCGATTTATATTTTCGGTATCCATCGGCTTCGTCCTTATAACCTAGCTCAACGGATGAAGACTTCGGTTTGTACTGCTGCCTGCGCTGGCGATCATATCCACCAGACGCGTACCCTCATGCTGCTGGCAGTGCGTAAGCTCCAAATGGACAATGGGGCATTGCAGATCGAAGATTTCCCTAGCCACCTACCAAAATCAGTGTAGCTGGTTAACGCATCGTTTAGCAGAATCTCAATGTGACCCTCCGTAGTGGGACGAGCCTATCTATATCCAGCAAGGGGAAGAATTAGGTTTGCCGTATTCCCGGAGATTCCGGACCACCGAGGGTCCCAGATGCGCAGTCTACGGAGTAGCTGTTCAACCTAACAAGGCATTGCTGTCACATTATCATGACCCAGATGGATTTAGGGTGTCATCATCCCGAGTTTCCGAGCAAGCAGCGAACCCAGGTCTTGCTAGCTACACCAATGCAACTCCGTACTTTGATTCATCTATGATGTAATAAACTATGGGCCCCGGAGCAGCGATCTCGTTGATTCATTATTGGCTACCTGCGTCATCGCGGTAGCAACGGCATTCAGCCACGACCATGTCACCAACGAATTGACTAGTAGCCTTCGGCACTTCCCTACTTCCTCATACAGAGTTACATTTACGTTGTTTCTATCTGTTTCATATGACTGCGTCGCGGTCGAAATCCAATACAAGCCCTCTTACTGGATGGATGCTATTTCCAAAAACGGACGAAGCTGGTGCTACGGGGAATTAGCAAAGCTTAAAGCCGGCCATGCGTAAATATCCGGGCGCCATCTCAACGTGTTGCAAAATGTAACGTGCTCTAGCGATATCGCGTCATAAGCGAAAAAACATAAAAATCGGCATTTGTCTCATTCTAAAAAAAAATTCAACTATTATCTACCGTACAGCCACCAGCAAAAAATTCGACTTTAGGATTCTAGCATCATTCCATTCTCATCATGTCAACACACGTCCACATCACGCGAGCTAGTGAACTAGACGCCGGCATCGGTCAAACAGAGGGAATGATTAGGAAAGGAGCAATCATTGGAAAATCCGACAGGATATGTTCCCTAGGTAAGTAAACCTCGTGGTTGGTCAAAATTCCGCCCCCCTGCGACCAGTCGTTCCATCGTTGTTCGCAGCCCAGGCCAGAGAACTTCGTATTCATCAATCCTATAACGAGAATGCTAATACCGACCTTTAAAGTTATGACAGCCAAGCCGCACACATCTTCCGTAATCCACCACCATGGAGGTTCGTATCTGTTCCCCGTGCACTTATCTTTGCGAGTCTCGCGAGTGCCACGTGTTAAAAGATGTTTGCGTTCAGATCAGGACACCATCATTTTCGCTTCCAGCGGTCACGGGTCACTTGTTCTTGAGGGAGGGTCGAAACGGCAGGATTTGGCACCGGGCGACTTTGCGTTCATTCCGGCAGGTACAGAACACCAGGAAGTAAACGACAGCGATGAAGAGGTGACGTGGGTGGTGATGCGGACGGGGAAAACCCCTGCCACGGTCAACCTTGAAGGGTGGCAACAAAAGGCATAGAGTTTTACAGGTTCTGTCCACAGCCTGTCGCGCGGGCTTACACGTCAATAGTAGGCTACCATGTTGGTTATAAAACCTGTAAATTATTATTTCTGTATTCGGGCTGCGTATGGTGAATTGTATTGTCGTGACTGTTCTCTAGATCACTGTCTTCTATAGGATTCCATTTTACATTGCATTGGGATATAAATAACATAATACGCATCCTGTCTAAAAAGTAGCCAGTAAGGCTGTGCGGACAGATGCACTGCTCCCCTGTCCCAACTCACCAAACGCTACGCCGGGATATAAGTCAGCCAGATATACCGAAGTGATACGACACGCCCAGGGCTGTCGAAGCTAGAGAATCGAATAATAGCAGCAGTCATATTAATGCAAGCGACGCCACGGCCACAACCACAGCTTCCACAGCGTCGCGTGCGATTGTTGGTCGGGGCGATGACGGATGGCCATCGAGTTTACTTCTTGTCTTCATCACGCAGGTCGCGGAAACCGCGGCCGTAGACGATATCGGACTCCTCAAGACGCAAGATTGCGTCGACGGTGAAGATGTTGCTGGTGCAAAAGCCGGAAGCGGCCTGTGCCAATCTCGTTGTCGAGTCTCTCAGAAATCGCATGGTTGGGGCACTGGCAGGCTTCAAAACGGCAGGGATCATGTCACTCGTAGATTTGGCCCTTTTGAAGCCCCCGACACCGCCCAAGAACGCAGCGCTGATGATATCTGAAGTTGTGCTTGGACACACCTCCCAAAGGATGCTGAGGCGTGGGACGCAGGATTGTGAGTGTCGTCAGTGCTCTAGATGTCCTGTTATAGACACTTTTCCCCGCTAGGGCCACTATCTACCTATGTTACATACAACATTCCAGGTATTTCTATGCCTCATTTCCAATTGGACCCATACATTACGTTAAGCTTCGGGAATGACTAAATTATGTACATTTGTAAGTAGCTTCGCGAGAGCACGGCAGGGTTGAGAGCGGCTACTCGGCCCGAGCCGCTCTCGGTGGAGCCGCCACACTCTTCCACGTGGGGCAGCGTCACTGACAGGTTCGGGGGACCAGAAGTCAATGCTCACCAGGCCCTTCAATCAAGTACTTGACTTATTCCATCAGAGTTCGGTGACATTCATCTGAACCGCAGGGAGTCCGTTCCAGATCATTAACACTGGACCTCCGAGGACGCGGACCAGCCACTTGTAATATTCCCCAGGACATTCTAACCCGTCCTCTGCCGAGTTGTTCGTGAACGTCTCTTAACTACACCACGAGGCTTCGCAGACTTTGGACTGCTAGTACTAATTCCTCCGGCGGAGGAGTCTGCATCCGTTTTGCGCTTAGCCTCCTGCAAGCGCCTACTCCTTCGAGGCTGTACCGAAGAATCCACGAGAGGAGCGGAAGCGGTATCTGGTACAGGAATCGGTGTTTGTACCCCATTCTCTTCAGAGCCATCTGGTCGTCGTCTGGTGCAAGTCCTGTTCCGCCTGCGAGCCTTGGAAACCTTGGACGGACGAATTGGACCAAGAGCGGTACGTGGTATTTCTGGAGCAAGCCCAGCCCCGACGGATCCCTCTCTCTCGCCTCGTCGCGCCCCCGACAGCAAGACGGAGCGTCCGGCCTCTCTATTGTTTATACGGTCGCGGTCTGAACTTGATGCAGCAGAAAACTGGCTGGTCTCGCCGTTTGGTAATACCGCAGGATCGCCGCCCGGACAAGCCTCTTGAAGAGGCTCGTCCGGTTGACCCAAAACGTGGTCACCATTTGCCGCAACTGGTAATGGAGATGCGATTCGATTCGGTCCCGCATCCACCCTCACCGGTTGATGAGTGCTATCGTCGAAGAGTGGAGATGAAAACGATGCGACTTGTTCGTCTGGATATGGCCCGAATAATGGCCTACGAGGTGTTTCGCTAGGTTCATCCCTGTCCTCGACCGCACCACCCTCATGAAGGACAGGATCATCGCCCATTTCCTCGCGTAGCATCTCCTCGAGAGGCTGTTCATGCTTCCATGACATCCCAGGCAGTATGCCCCATTTCTTGTTCCATATTCCTCTTCTTACCCAGGTATTCTTCACTCTCTCATAGGCTGCCGTGTTGATGTCTGGGGGGGTCGAGACGGAATATTCCAGGTTAGGCTCGGTTGGGGTGCGTTGGCGCCCTGATCCTCCCTGGAGGGCAGCTGGGTGTAGGGCTGGGGGCCATTGGTTGAGGTAGGAGAAGTCGGGAGCTTCGGGAGGGTTCATTTCGTCCAGAATCAACTCGCGTTCTTTCGAAACCTGGTAGACGAACTGATGGTATAGGCGCGACGCCTCACGTCCGCGTTCCCGTATGCGCCGACGTTCCTCAGTCATTGGCAAATCTTGGACGCCCTGCGGTGGTCTCGGCGTCGATTCTATTTCCTCAGGGGGCGGGCCAAAGAGACGGGACTCAGTGCCAGCCGTTTTATCCTTGTTCGACTCAAACTCGCGGTCGAGTGGTTCTTCGTGCTTCCACCTCCACACGCTCCTGGATTTCCATTCCTCGCTCCATATTCCCTGTTCAACCCAGCGTTTCATGACGTTCTCCTTGGCGAGTTTGTGATAATTCGTACCGACTGGGATACGGCGCATTCGAATTGGATCTAGTTGGGTTAGCCGACGTATCTCTTCGAGCTCTTGGGCCAGGAATTGTTCGGAGGGAAACGATGCCTGATGCTCCAGTATCAGCTTCCATTTTAGATCGGAGCGGCGTTGTTCTTCATCGCTTGGTGGGTTAGGGCTCTGAGAGAGGGTTGAGTTGTGTGACAAGCGCGATCTATACGACGGCGGAGATTCGTTGAACCGCGCTCTTGCGCGATCGAGTCGCTCTGGATCTTGGACAAGCGCTGCGAGGGCGTTAACAGCTGTAAACAGCCCGTCTCCACGAAATGGATCAGCCATAGAAGAGCCTTTGTCCACTACAATAGTTGAAAGGACGGCCACTGATGTAACGGGTGGGCAGTGCCGGGTATGTGAGCGCTGGAGGGGACCTAGGAAGGCAGCCAAGCGCTGGGTTTTTGTAAGAGACTCCGTTTCAGACCCTCCATGATCTACTAATAGGATGTGCGCGTCCGTGGTCAAACAGATAAGCGCTGAATCTCTGCTGCCCAGTGCGCCAATGGGTCTAGCGCTTAACAGTGCCTCGTCCTGAGACTCATACCTAAATAAACGAGCGAGCCAATGCAGTCCTTGCCCATAGTCCTTGCCCACCAGAGTAACAAACACCTTGTTTCATATCTGAAAGACGGCACACTTGCTCTCGATATTGGTCATGTCCGCCCATTGTCTGGAGAAAACACTACTTTGGCAGAATTAGACAGGAACGGCGATGCCATTGTGGTCCTACGATGCCACTCTTTGTCTATACATGTAATCCGCTTTTTAATGCCAGACCTATAACCGAGGTCGGCCTGGTGCCCGTACCCAAGACGTGCTCGGGCGATATATTATTACAGAATTGTATAGAGTGCTAGTAGGATGAGAGTTAAGCAAGAACATGTATTATATTTTGTAGCAGATATTTAACTTGGTTGTTCTATTTTAGTAAATATATTAAAATATATTTTTATATATTAAAGTATTTTACGTACAAAAACAGCTTATAAGTACTATAATAATAAGCTACTCCTAGCCTTATAATCCCTATTCTATATAGTTTATATAAAATAAATCCAGTAATACTATGTACTAACTGTTCAAGTAAACAGCCGAAAGCACAATTGTCCCATCCTTGGTCGCCGCAGAAATAACATTCTCAGACGCAGTCGCGGTCCTCCAGCTCCCAAGCCCAACAAACCGCCCATGAACAGAATAATACGCTCCCACCATTTTACTCCTGCAGACCATGCGCTCCTCGTCCCAGAACCAGTTGAAAGACCGCACCTTCTGCAACGGCTGCAGCACGTACTGCGCCGTACAAGAGCGCAAGTCGGCCGTCTTCATGGATTCGAGAATGCCACACCACTCAGCGACGGACATGTCCCTGCCCAGCAGAATCCCACATCCCCTCGCCAGGCGGAACGGCTTAAGAATGTATCCATCCTTGATCCCGGGATCCGCGTAGCTGGCATCGAGAAGCTGGCGCAGGAGCTCACAGCCCGGCAGTATGGTCGGCACGATGCCCTGCTCGAGGATCCGCGCCTGCGCCAGAGTAAGAGCGCCGTGTTTATGCACGAGCGCGTCCAACTCCTGCCGCAGGATGCCGAGGATCCGCTTGTCGTGGGCGATGAAGACGCTCCGCATGTCGTTGACGCTGCGCATGGCAATGTGTCGCACCATGTCCGGGTCGGCGCCCCAGACGCAGTAGAGGGAAAATCCCGTCGGTTCGGAACCGCTGGGGATCAACACGAGACTGGACGGCTTTACCAATCTTGGTCTCATGCCAGTTCGCTGCTCCACGAGGCCGAATAGAGGACTGTCCTTTGGAAAGTCGGACGTCTGTCCGACAAAGTGAATAGGAACCGACGGGTCAAACAGCTGAAACAGGCTGTCACGGAGCTTCGTGTAATCTGTTGCTGGCTTGAGCAGCGGAACGCTCCACGGCAAGCTGGCCAAGGCTTCGTAGGCGCTCGCCACGAAGTGAAGGAAGTTGATGGGGAACCGGCCGTTGATCTCGCAGACGCGGAACTGGGGGACGGCGTGCTCTTCATCGGCGAGTATCAGCATGTCTGGTCGCAAGTTCCCCTGGTGGCCCTTGTACCCTCGGACGAGTCCTTTGTCGGAGCCCTCGTCAATCCACCTGAGCAGTTTTTCCACTCGGGGCTCAAGCGGCATGCGTCCCGGCAAGTTGGCATCCACGTCTTTCCACCACCGTTCAACAAGGTTGTCAAGGGCGGCGGCTAGCGCTTCGTGAAAGCGTTGGACATTCTGGACAAATTGGACTGGTAGAACAGCTGGGTATGGATTGAGTTGGCGTGAGACTCCAGGGAGCTTTCCATATGGGCTTGTGCTCTTCAGGAGGTTCTGCTGCATCAAGTCCCGATCTGCCGCTCGAACTTGTGCGTCTACTTTCTCGGGAGGAGCAAGCCTCTCCATACTGTTGCTTCCGGCTAGAGATATTTGAAGCAGCCACGGACTCGTTTTGCAGAGGATATTCGGCACCTCTGTGTCCACAAGCTTGAAGCGCTAACTCATCTTGTCAGTTGATCGGAAGTGGTGATGTTGACACTGGGAGACAACTTACACCGTCCAGCGACGACCTCAGTCTCATTGTGATGAACGACTTGAATAACATGGTATCCCTCAAGAAATACTGGTAAATCTGCCTTCCCAGAGCATTATTTTCAACGTCAAGGCTATCAGCCAGCGCGGACCGCACGATGCCCCATCCATCGTGGTCTCTCTCCAACTCCAACGCGTACATCATGTATCCAATGTTGTTCTGAATAAGGGCGTGGTGCACTCTGTCCCATACCTGGTGGCTGTCGTCCGTGCTCGAGGCCTCAAGACCCGTCACATCGAACCCTTGGGCCTCGAGACTCGCTCCGTGAAGTTTGACGCCAGCCAAGTCGCGTATAGCAAATCCCTTGATGGCTCTTGTCCTTTTGCAGATGCGGACAATGGAGTTTTGGCCATGGAACTCGAATCCAACTTGGTGTCGCACCAGAGGATCCAAGGCAAGAGTCAAAAGATGTTGGACATAACTGCTCGCCGCCGATTAGCTCGTGCCGCGCCAACTAGCAGGATTCATGGGCCACAAACCTCTTGAACCAGCGCACTTTGTCGGCCGTGGTATGCAGGTCGAAGAGCACCTCGGCGTACGTCCGGGAGCCCCCCATTGGCTTTTCCATCAATGCGGAAGAGAGTATCAGCGCTTCGTTATTTTCTTTGGCCCTAGACTCCAAATTCTCCCTCAGTATGCAAGTCATGTACCGGGCCTCGGCCATGTCTTGCTGATTGCCAGTCACGGCGGCAACCTCGCCAACTATCCACAGGTTTGGCGGGGATATCTCCTTTAGAAGGCAGGTCAACTTGGGCGCTGCATCTGCAGACCAGCACGGAAGGACGCGCAGTGCGGACGTGACGAGGCATGCCAGTGAGAACTTGACATCGTACGCAAAGCCCGGGATGGAAACCGTTCGCATGGCCGCCTGGGCCACGGCACAATTGGGTACTGTCTTGATTAACTCGGCCTCGGGGAAATAATGCAGCAAAGCTGGGAGATGCTGCGTTAGACAGGGAACTGTGGTGTTTCCTTGGGGGCTGGCTACGGAGATTCCGAAATGCTTCACCATGGATTCAATGAGTTCGTCAAAGGGTCCTGCTGTGCGGACTGATGTGCGGGGGACAGTGACGAAGGAAATGTCTGGATTCAGCATGCCGGGGAGATTCTCCGGTCCAACCGGCTGCAACAAGCGGTTGGCAATACATGTTCGATGGAACTTGGACACATTTAGCAACATTGCCATGTGGAAGGAAACTTATCAAGCCTACCGGATGTGTTGGGTGGCCCGTCACCACAGACCTCTCCCAATCCAAGAATGAGGAGTCCAGATCGAGGATGGGCGTCTGCCAACCAAGCTCCATCCATTTCTCTGTCAAGGCAGTCAATATAACATGGTCCTGGATGTTGAGGCAAGGCGTTGTCGTGTGCTCACCTAGCATAGCTGCAGAATTGCGCAGCTCTTGCACAACTGATGCCGTCATGGCCTCATTACAGTCAAGCCACACGGATATAAACTCAAAGATAGCGCCTGGATCGTCTTGGAGGGCTTCATTATTGTCGGAGAAGAGCGTTACAGGAAGCTCAAGGTCATTTGGACGCAGATGGCCCGTCGTGATAACACCATGCACTGCAGAAAGAGTGAGCCAGCGATCTGGATTCCCCTCCCTCTGTCCGGTAATGCGCGGTTGACGCGTGGCAGAGTCGTGAGATTCGTCAAGAAAATCCAAGCTTGCCAATCCTTCGTTGACCAGCTGCGCAAGTAGACGTTTGGTCGTCTCGCCTCTGGCCCTGGCTGCGTAGTTGGAAGCAGACATGGTCTTTCCCTGGATTGAGCCAGACGGAATCCAGTTGTTGCCGTGTCGGGGGGATGTTGAACAGGCGTACGGAGGAATAGGGGCGGATCAACGACATGAGAAAACAAACCTCCAGGGAGTCGAGCATTTTTGCGTCACAGTTGTCTCAATGACAGGTCGCGTACTGGTGATCCGGTGGGGGCTTTGACGAAGCATGTCAAGTCGTACACGAGTCCAGTCCATCCTGGGCAATGCTGGACAAGGTGTACATCGGGTGCCCATGGGGTACCCTTACATATGATATGTCTGGTAGGTACCTGTGAACAATCACCGTTGCCCACGGGTCCTTTACACCTTGATGCTGGAGCAGAGCTAAACCTACAGAGTACAGCAGGCCTGCAATACTCCAGGAGTGTAGAATTGTCTCATGTATATTGGCCGTGACTGGGCAGCAGAACCCACCAGACATGTTTCCTCGCAGACGGTATGACGTGGCATCGCAGATAATATGTGATACAAGAACATAATACTCGGTACGACAAACAATGTCCACCTGTCCTTGTTGGAAAGAATAGAACACAGTCATGCAAAACGTAAACTCAATAGCTCCAAGCCGGACGCTTCAAGTCGTGTCCATTGACTGCTGCCATGTTCTATAATTGTCCCATTGACCCATCAGTGCTGCACCAGTGCCACCGAGGTCGACCTTGATCCAAGCTCATCTCGACACTCGCCTTCGCTTTCGTTTTCGACAATATGAGCAGTTCCGAGGAGTGCTCTCGGGAGAACTGGGTTCATCACAAAGTACCACGAGCCCTACCGGTAGGGCAGGGCCATATACAGCCCCCAACAACGCCTCATGTAAGTCCTTGATGTTCCCATATGTGCAGTGTTGTAGCATCCTAAAGCTGATTCCGCATAGGCCATAAGCTCCTCGCTGCCAACATGGGACTCCGTCATTGCATGGGCCCGCAGAGAAAAGGGGGTCAGGGACAAGGCCGAGTACAGTTATCCTAGGTACGGTGAGATGAGATGGAGTTGAATTGGGCAGAATGCCACTAACGTTGCACGACGACAAACCAAGATTCTTCATTGGCAAGCCGATTCAGAATCTCATCCACCGAGTGCGCGAACGGCTGCATATCCGTGGCGATACAATTTCCAGCATGGTCTTTCCCTCGATCCGAATCGCAAATTACTGTGCTGGCGCACTGAAAGCTGCCCTCAAGACGTCGTGCCCAGACGCCATTCCTGACATTTACACCATTCGGTTCTTCTTGCCTTTTGAAGCACGTGTCCATGAGGAAGAGAATACATGGACTGATTTCTCCGTGGTAGTGTTCCCAACTGACCTGGCTAAAGAGTCGATGCTGGCTTGGATGGACACGGGCGCGGGAATCACAACCCGCCACGCCCAATTTTGCTTGGAGAGTCTGGATTTTCTCGCTTCTGATTCCACATGCCCGTCGTTTCAAACACTCGCGCCCCTCCAGAGACATCGCGAAAGCCCAACGTTGAATCCGTGGCGTCTATCTGCGCCGGACGACCTGTTACAGGTACGAGCTTATATTGCGCATCTTATTACTTCGGAGCGCCCCGAGCTCAAGAGGGTGAGCGCAGAAGATGTGCTGCTTTTCCCGACGGGCATCCATGCCATCTTCTCGGCGTCTGAAGCACTGGCGGCTCTTGCTCCCAACTCGGACGTCGTTGCCTACGGGTAAGAACCCTTACCCTCAGGTGCTCCCAAAGGACGGACGAATCGCCTAACATGCCTTGTTACAGTTGGCTCTATCCCGAGACGGTACATGTGCTGCGGAGGTCTCCTTGGAACAGAGCCATCTCCTTCAAATGGGGCACTGACAAGGAGTTGGATGAGCTTGAGAATATGCTCAAGAATCCCGGCCACCATGTCACCGCGCTCTTCTGCGAGATTCCAAGCAACATCAAGTTCATCTCGCCGAATCTCGAGCGGATCCGGCACCTGGCCGACGAGTACAACTTCATCGTTGCATGCGACGAGACCGCGGGCAACTTTGTCAACCTCGACATTCTGCCATTTGTGGACGTAGTCTTGAGCAGCCTGACCAAGATGTTTAGCGGGGCTTCAGATGTAACAGGCGGCAGGTTTGACACGCCCTTTTGCCGTCAACAACACCATTGACGCTGTACATGTCGATATGCAAACACTAACATCAGTCTACACCGTCCAGCGTCGTGGTGAACCCCAACTCGCGGCATTACACGAGGATCCAAAGCCAGCTGGCCATTCAGCACGAGAGCGTGTATTGCTTCCCGGGTGATGTGGCCGCGCTCAAGCGGAATTCCGCCAACATGGCCGCCCGGGTACGGAGGAGCAACGCCAACGCCGTCCCCGTGGTCGAGTTCCTGCAGCAGCATCCCTCTGTGAAGCAGGTCAGCCATCCGTCTCTCGGGCCAACGTCCCGGTGGTATACGAAACACATGCGCCGAGAGGGTGGCTACGGAAACGTCCTTGGTGTCGTGATGCGTGACCCCAAGACGGCGCGGGGCTTCTATGACAACTTGGACGTCTGCAAGGGGTCCAGCTTTGGCACCAATTTCACCCTTGCCGTTCCCTATGTCCAGCTGGCGTGCTACTGGGACCAGGACAAGTGCGAGGAGTACGGCCTGCCGCGGCATGTCATCCGGATCAGCGTGGGCCTCGAGGATGCTGGTGAGATTGTCGGCAAGATCAGATCGGCGCTCGAGGAAGCTGAAAAGGGGGAAAGGGGAAACTTAGTATGACAAGGCAAGTGGCGGAATAGAAGATCCAGAAGCTCTCGAGAGGCTGGGGGCTGTTTATATAGTCGACGCTTGGGGAGCGGATTATAAGAGAAAAGACCTTTTATTTGGTGGCGATATTACATTGGTAGTAGCCGGTGCAGTTTAACAGCGTGGCGTACTACATCCTCTGTTCATGCACTCGTCAAGAATTGACATTACTGTTCTCGATTAAAGGGTTTCGCGTAGCATGATGATTGTGAGAAAAAACGCAATGTCCATGTCATTGCCCGCTCCGTGGACTGCCAACCTTGGAAACTTGACGTATTCCGCTCCGTTGGTCCATCGCAACATCTCATACAAGGATTAAATGGCACTTTTCAACAGTGAATTGTAGAACTATGCCGGGTATATTTGTTGACTCTAATCGGCGCGTCGTCGCAAGTGTGCCAACAACTCGTCTGTTTACAAACACCCGCTGAGCTTTTATTGGATTCCTGCTGCTTCTGCATCGCCATCGGCCATTACCCATGGCACAGGTCCGTTACCGCCCTGATTACGATTGACTGACTGTGAATTGCTCATCTTGCAGCGTTGACCACATAAACATGCGAAAAGAGGCAGAAAGCTACACATGTAAGCACGCCGTGTCCTGTCCTTGTGCATGTATGTGGCATTGACGTCTTCTTAAACCTGACAAATACCAGTAAAGCTCATCTACTCAACTACACGAACTGTCTCGATTGTAGCTTACAGCGTCTTGTTCATAATGGTATCAGCGTTTGCTTTGATTCTTTTGGCTGTGCTGTCTGGTGGTAATAAGCTAATGAGCTTGTAACTTGTCATGGCTCGTGTAATTCTAAAACTACCAACTTGGTTCATTCTTGCTCCTAAAACCACAAAGAATGACCTACAGCCGTGTTATGTCGCAAGCATGGCCGTCTTTGGCTCGACGCGGATTGAGCATCTTCTTCACGGCCTTGCTCTTTAGCAACTCGCTTCGTTTTGAGGAGTTGAAGACATCGTCAAAAATTCTTGGTAATTTGAATTTCATGAAAATATAAATTTTATTCTGGTGTACTTTCTTACACCAAGTCGTGACGGATGCCAACATGGGAGATACATAAGGGAATATTCTTTTTGGTCTTTAGGTTTTACTCGTCTTATTCATCTGTCCTTTTATTTCTATTACTTCCTCCCCCTTTGGCCCTTCTTCATTATTCGTACTTTTTCGGGTTCTATTAAGACGTAGCCCGAGGCACAAGTCATCGATCAGGCCACCTCACCTGTCCATCGCCAACCTTTGAAGCTTTTCTCTTTAGCCTCCCTGCTTCTCGCCCCTTTCCTTCCCAAGGTAGACGGGAACCAGTGCTACCGGCAGGGTCAGTGTAAAAATAGGCACCCCTGGGCACCCGTGGGTATCCAAGCTTTTCTTGGGAGATATATGCGCTATCCATTTTGTCATATAGGTCCAATATCAATAAATTGATCAACATATACCCTATTATAAGATGGGCACTTATAGCTACCCATAATATCTATTAATAGGTTATCACGTCAATAGTGTTGTTAATTACGTGGCTGGGGGCTTAGGTCTTACGCGGGCACCCAAAATAACCCAAGATTATCAATAGATAGCCATGGGCAGCCCAGCTCTCTCCCATGAATCCTTTGGGCTAACATTCACTGCCTAATATTATCCAGAACCAGCGGGTACCCGTGGAGCTTTTACACCCTAGCTACCAGGCCTTTTGACACGGCGAGCTGCAAAAGCACCGAGAAGCTCGATGGCATCCTTCTCATGCCAAGATGCAGCGCAAAGACCTGTCAAGGCTCTTGATGTCAAGCAATACGCGGGAATTGGCGGGCCAGATGGGGCAGTACTCCTGGCCGAGATGCTTCCTGCGCCACGAACCTCATCAGACGCTATTCCAGGTACTCTGCCGGCGACAAGGGCACTAAACTTGCGGGCTGAAGAACTGTAAAGGCGGAGAGCGGGACGCCTTTGCATCTTGACGAGGCCAACGCTATTATCGCGGCGGACGGGCGTATGCCATGTCCAGATCGTGTTTGTGACGGCCCGGAATAGATGAATATGATGTCGTACATCTCGTCAGGTGAGTGTTGCCCTTATCATTAGATAGGGAACCTACTATGAACATCGACACGCGTATCTGGCTTGACAAACCACTCTTTATAATTGTCTTTCAGACATCAACTTGCTTCGTCTGTCTGCTTGTGGTGCCCAGCTCGTAACTATTGACCCCGGGTTCTGGCTGAACCAACAGGAGCAGGCAAGTGACGAAGCGATGTTATGCTTCGGGAGTATCTCACATCCCGAGGTAGAGGACATGTCAAGCAACCTGACAATTAGCACAGCTTCATACAGTTCAGCCTGCTAGATGAATCACTACAACCTAGTTTTCACCCGAAGAGGATCCTGGGCAAGAGACGAAAAGTGTGGGACATGACTGCTCGTGCTATGAAGAGGGCCTCGCGATAGAACGACCGCCTATACATGTGTGTTCACAATATACTTGGATTGCACGGTGGGGAATTGAAATAATTCTATTGATAACATTGAATAGAAAAGAATCTAACGCCATAGCTAGTAGGACATGTGTGACTTAAACTCCAACGTTATAAGCCTCCTTGCTGCATGTTTGCCCAGTCTGGCATGTGAACATCATGTACAAGTCTCTCCCACCCGTCACCAACTACAGTGCCATCCTTGGGCCCTATACGGCGTGCCGTGCGATTCAAGGACACATACAGACTTTATGCGTTTACCGAAATACGACCTTCCATGTCCCGTATATCGACAATGTTACTACGCAGGCACTCGTTTGCGCTGGCAGCTTTGTCATAGAGGTGGGAGCATTCCAGAGTAAAGCTTGGAGAAAGCGTGCCTCACATGGTAATATAGACTTGTTACACAAGACGTCGCCGGGAGGTGTACAGGGTAGCTCCTTGCACAGGGTAGGTGATGAGGTTGAAAAGGGGTCTGGCCATAAAATAGTAGTTGCTAGGCTGAGTGGTCTACAGTCGGTGAGCAGCAACCATAATATGTTATAGTATAGAGCGCGTTAGCTCAGTAGCTAATTCAGTGAAACACATTTTGCCTGTTTCTGTTCTAGAATCTAGATGGTTTATTTGTCATGACCTCGGTGTTAGTTGTACTCGAGATGGCTATTGCCTCATGTCTATCTACCTTTGCCGACCCGCAACAGTGCTTAGGGTTGACAGACGACGGTTCATGGCATAAATTGCAGGGCTACAAGTTAATTGGGGCCCAATTTCGCGAGGTTACAGATGGCCTACCAAGCAAGCATAGATTGATTAAAGACCGAAGTTCCTGTCTCGGCCCGTACGGGGGCGGGGCGGCGAACGAGTATTGCGGGCATGTTAACCTGGTTAGGAAAATAGGCATCGTCACTCCTTTCTGCAAGTGCGCGCCAAGGCAATGCGGTTTGGTTCCGATTGTAGAGCGAACGCATCTGATTGACCAAGAACTGTGCTGGGATCCCCGGGCACCAGCAAAGGTAGGGAAAACCAACCGGGATCGGGTCTGGTGGACTCGGTGCTGGCTTAGCCACCCCTTCTATTAATCAATAGTTTTGTGCAGCCGGCACGTGGATGAGGCGAAGTACTCGCTGGCGATTTCATGATGGCGGCTGGGGATAGTATACGATGAGACATGTCGGAATAGGATGAAGCTGTTCTAGCAAGCACAGGAATGACATGAGTTTCTCAACCTAGAATAGTACATAGAGTAAATAGAGCGAGGACAAGGAGGCTAAGAGAATGGCTTAATGCCAGTCAAGCATCTACCACGGGGCCCGGTTGCACGAGATGGCCTAGACAAAACCAGGCGACGGCCAAGGAACGGGAAACCGAGTCGGTCTAGATGTACGGAGTATTGATTCATCTGTTATTTATGCCGATTCTCCATTTATTCGTCCGTCTCGATGCACTTTTTCTCTTTTCTGTTTCCACTGGGCTAGGGATATCCATGCAGAGCAGCCTACAAGCCGGGCGTTGGCACAACTACGTACCTAGTTGGTCGCATGGACCGGGGACGTTTTTATCGACAAGATGCGGCAGGGCCATGAATGAACTCTTATGGTTCATGGGTGCCAGAACCGGAGATCGTCATCTGGACGCTAAAATGTGACGAGCCCTGCCGCTGCGCCTGGTTCCAAGAGTCCAGTACCATGAATTTTTGGCAACACAAGTGCCAACGACACCGACACTGCCCGCGTGCTCTCTCCACAACCAGGCTGACAGAAGCGAGATACTGACTCGTGGTGCCATCAATTGATGTTTCACATATGTACAGTGCAGGCTCGCCGGGTTTCAACGCACGAGTGGCTTGCGTGCCCATTTCCCCGACAAACCGCGCGGTGGCGGCAGTCGTGGCGCGTAAAATAAGCATACTAATAACCGCGCAGTTGAATTGGGCGAGGCCAAAAAAAGAGCCGCCCGTCAGCGGGATGATGACGACCAAGATATTTAAATCTACGTGGCGTGGAGCATCAACGTTGAATGGATGATGAGCCACCAGGAGTGGGGCTCTATGGGGATCTATAGCTGTGCCAAAAGGTGCCAAAAGGTGCCAAAAGGTCAACTGGTGCCAAAGGTGCCGGAAATTTAAGGCCAGCATCCAGCACCTTCCATAATAACGTCAACGTTGACACCAAGCATCGACTAGTCCCATGGCACTGGCCTGGGCTCTGTGTGGAGCCAAAGTGGCGGCGGCCCCAGGCGCTTGGGAAGGCACAGCCCCACCACCTGCCGTCGCCAATCCGGGCAAACTCGATCTTGCCAATTGGTCCTGGGCTCCTGGACATCAACCATCAACCTTGAATTGACATCACATTTGAACTCGACATCATGGCGTGGGTCGGCGGCCGGCTGTGTTTCTGCAACACGGCCAGCCCCCCAGTACCGAAAATGAACGTGGATTCATCTGGGTGGAAAACAAACCTCGACCAGAATATTTAAGTCCTTTGGCTGCCCGTTCTCTGGATTCAATGTCTGCACCGCTACCGCTTTCCTCACCCTCTCTTTAAGCCCACACTCATTCTCTCTTTATATACAGTCTTTCTGCCTGCACAAGATGAAGCAGGCAGATCAACGGCCAGGAGGCAATGCCCCGGGTTTCCTGACCAGACTGGCCATTCTAGGCATCGGTATTGCGCCGACTCTGGTGCCGTCTGTGGCAGCCTCACCTGCAGCTTTTCACCACAGCCGCCAGGCCAATCCCGCCAACGCGACGGGAGAGTTCCCCAAGCCGGATGACCCCTTTCATTTCATACCTTGCGTTTCAAACGAAACCATCGAGGGCATCCCCTTGCTGAACGATACGAATCCCCAAGAGACCTGGAGAAAGAGGTTTGACCCCAACCCGGACAACTGGAAATGGGGGCCGGCGCCTGGCAATGCGACAACACCTGCTTCCTCCAATTCCACTCAAGGAAGGGGCCTTCACCTCTGTGGATACCTGGATGTGCCCATGGACTACCTCAACAAGTCGGATTCGCGAATTCATCGCTTGGCCGTTGCCAAGTATCAAGCCTCTGGGCTCAAGGGGAAGGGTGCTCGAACTATCGTCATGAACCCCGGTGGCCCCGGGGGGGAGGGCGTGACCTTTGGCCTTTATGGGGGCCGCTATTCGCAGATACTAAGCAATGGAGTGCTTGATTTTTTGGGCTTCGACCCTCGCGGCGTGGGCTTGTCACAGCCCGCCATTGACTGCTACCCGGCTGCGCTCCAGGACCGTTGGAACTTGGCGGTTGGTAAAGATCTCAGGGAGTCCCCGTCTCCTCGCCAGCAGTTGGAGCTGGTCAACGCCGTAAATGACGCCAGGTTCAAGGCCTGCTTTGAGGAACTCGGCGACGTACCGCGATTTGTCTCGACGGCTTCAGTCGCCCGCGACGTCGAGTCAATCCGCGTTGCCCTTGGAGAGCCAGAGCTAACGGGATACATGGTTAGCTACGGTACTACGCTTGGTCAAATCTACGCCAACATGTTCCCAGACAAGGCAGGACGCCTTATCCTAGATGGCGTTGACTACTCTAGAGAGCACAGAGTCACGGGGGGGTACGCATCGACTGCGATCCACAGCACCACGGATGCTTGGAACGAGGGTTTCCTAGGAGAATGTGTCGCCGCCGGCCCTAGTAACTGCGCACTTGCCAAGCCAACGAATGGCTCCGCGGTCACCTTGGATAGCTTAAAGGCAAGGATGGCAAAGCTCCTGGACGGATTGGCCGAGCGTCCGATACCAGCTTACGACGAGGAAAAGGGGCCAGTTATTATTACATACAGCCTTATAATAGGGGTGATTGGAGGTGCGCTCTATCAGCCGAGACATTGGCCAGAAGTGGCTCAAGCACTCGCGGATTTGGAATCTGGCAACACTACACTAGCGGCCTCTATAGCACACGGGCAATACGCGTACCAACCACAAGAACCTGAAAAGCCTCTGGGTCTTGCGAGTGAGCTCCTGCCCATGGTGGTATGCGGAGACGCAAGCGCCGACGGCCCTCCTGCCAGTGGCCTCGACTTCTGGGAATCCCTCTGGCGCAACCTGACCGAAAAGAGCTTCCTCACCGGAGGTGGTAATTTTGCAACCGTGTTTCCGTGCCAAAACTACAACAAGTATTGGCCCCAAGGCGCAGCGTTGTATCAGGGCGACTCGAATAACAAGCTTAAACACCCAGTCTTGCTCATCGCGGAAACACACGATCCTGTAACGCCTCTTAGAAACGCTCGCGAGCTTCACAAGGAAATGGGCATGGAAAATGCCAGGCTAGTGGTACACCATGGGTATGGGCATGGTTCTTCGCCCGACCCATCAGACTGCACCAATGCTATTATCCGTGGATACCTGCTGAATGGCACCATTCCAGACAAGAGAGAGACCGACTGCTACGCCAATGGGAAGCCGTACCGCAATTCTACTCGTACAAACCACAAGCGATCCTTGCCCATGTTTGGCAACATACCGATGAGGCTTCCTCTCTAGATTTTTGCCCTCGTTTGTAAAGCATCATCTATAATGCACTTTTTCTAGTTGATAGAGAAGAACAATCGGCTTGATTTGACCTTTTGAAAAAGTACATGTTTCGCTGTGCCATTATCCCACCGTATTTCTGACAGAATGACGGTGTGACAAGGGTAGAGTAACTGGGCTTAGAACCAAGTGTTCTATTCAGACTATGATAATCGACTTTAAGATATTAAGGGTCCTTCATTTCCCACGAGGCCTCAAGGGACAGAAAGCCCCTATAAATACAAGAAATTAGTGACGGCTTGTGCCTGGGGCAACCCTCGCTTAGGACTGCCTTGTGGCCTTGTGGCCTTTGCTTTTATTGTTGTGTAACCTTTGTTGCCCCAACGCCCTTTGTTGTAAGCCAACCGTGTAACCGACGGTGTCTTTATCAAGCGTTGGGATATTTGGTTTTAGGTTTGCATCGTCGTTGACACAAACCCCACGATCGGTAGTAACTTGTCCCTCTGGCGGCGTTGTGACTCGTGAGTAGATATTTAGCTATTCAGTAACCTGCATGTGTCTAGTTGGTTGCTTTTCTACTGCGCTGTTTCCAATCGCTCCCGGAAAAGATACGTGACTGCATGAGGCCTGGAGTTGTGGTCATCGCTACAGCATCCAGTCCCATTCTTGAGCCACGACTCTCTGTCCGCCTGTTCAACGCCAACCAACAAATTGGCCATGTAGGCACATGATCAAGACTCGATGTCAACGGGTGAAATACAGGGCATCTACAACTAAGAGATAAGGTTTACTATAACAGGCACTAGTGGTATTCCCTTTTACTTGGTGTGGTTGAACCGTGACACTCGGCCTAGTAAATTTGTTCCCCTTGCCCCCTTTTCGACTTCCTCAAGAGCCGACCTGATCTTACCGACAATCTCATTATTCTCTTCCACATTGATGGAGAAGCCAATGAGAGGCTCTCAGTCGTACATGAAGATGCTCTTCCATCTCCACGCTACAGCGGCACCAAATCAGGCTTTAGAGCAAAGAGTTTCGTGAGCCTCCTCAATGGCGGCATCATGGCTCTCATACTGGACGCTGTCGCACTTGCCTATTTGACTGAATCTCGATTCACGCACTCTAGGAACGTAAAAATGACTAAAACTAGCACCGTTTCATTTGCGTCGGTAATTCCGGGTGCGCCATCTGGTCAAATCACTCCGCACACGGGGAGGTTTGGCCGGCGCGGCTGCAAATAAAACATTGCGACTATTGCGTGCAGGACACTCCGATAGCAGGGAACAGGCGAGGGAAAAGGCCGAATGATGCGTCTAGGCACACTGGCTTCATCCATGTGCGCTTCGTGTATCCCGTGAGGAGGGAACCAGATGGTTCCGGACGACTTCACGCTGGAAATACCGGCAGGCCAAAACGACAGCAATCGCTGGGCCGGCAGGGTCGGGCAAGTCCAGTCCGCTCTCCTTGCCGGAGAGGCTCTACCTGCCACTCCTTGACTCGGTTCGTATTGACGGCCCAGAGACCTCCGAGCTGGATATCCCTCGGATCCGCACCAAGATGAAGGCCGTCACAAGATCTTTGTCCCGTTGAAGACGACCATGTTGACAGCATTACTTTTTGGTCCGGTTCTGTGAAACAGTGAGCCGTGGGATCCAGACCCAAGTCCCCCCTATTCTGGCAATACTTTAGAACAACCCAAGACAACAGCACACTTGGTTGAAGACGCAGCCACGGCCGCCAACGCCCATGGGTTATCAACCGTACGACGCGCCAACAAGATGATAGTATTGACTCATGGAGCACGGTTCCGTCACCGAGCAAGGAAGCCATGACGAGCGCACATGCCAGCGTGGAACATTCAAATCCCCCGCGGCCGCACAAAGACTTCAAGGCGACGAAGAGGAGCACAATAGCCGTAACAGGGAGCCAATCGAGCTAAAGATGCAACATGAAGTGAAAAAGCTACAAAAAAAGGAGGCAAAAAGACACCAGTCTCCTGCAGAGGGTCTCTCAGCGCCGCAAGATACGTCTCGTATCGTTTCTCCTCCAACTCAACCACCAGGAGACTTCCATCCCAGCACCCGATCTGGTCGGCACCATCTCGACTCTCCTCAGGCATGGCATACCCGCCATCGGGAATATCCTCCGGCAACACGATGCTCGCTCCCACGATCCCTCCGCCACCCTGTGCCGGCATGCAGCAGTTCACCGCGTCGATCGCACTCCGAGGTCGCATCCTCCCTAGGCCTGCCGTTCGTGTATGCTTCATCGAGGCGGCCCAACAGCAAGTTGCCCGAGGGGGACGCGCAGCGCCCATCAAAAAAAGCCAAGTACTTGTCTCTTTCCTCTTTGGAATATGCCAATCGGTAGTACTAGCCATCTCCACGTCCCTCATTCCGGTACGGGGGCGCCTCGTCCTTACTGGAGGGGCGGGGAGTGCATGTACTCACACTTCCTCATTTTGCTTCATCGCCACGCAGCATCGCGCAGTCAGGTGGCATCGCATCTCCTCGTATACCCCAGACGCGGGCGGCGCGAACGATTGATGCAGCGTTGCTTCTCGAGACGCCACGCGAGACCCGGCCCAGCCGCCGGTGGATGGATGGGCTGGCCGCTCAAGAAACAGATTGACACCAGGCTCCTCAAAGGGGGAGGTGGCACTGCGCAAACTGGGCGTTTGCATATCCGTCGCCGGACGGCAAAACGGCATCATTTCTGCATACTATCACATTGACAGCAGCGTCAACAGGTCGCTTCGTCGCCCTGGTCGGCACGACGGGCAGCGGGGAGAGTTCCGTGGTGAAGCCGCCCGAGAGTGCCGCTCGATCCAATAACGAAGGGGGGTATTCGACATGACAACCTGCAGGGCTTTCGGGGCCAGCTCGCAGTGTGGAGCAGAGGTGCCGTGCCGTGCAGCGGAACGATACGTGATAGCATCATCGGCCATGGCGACGAGACGGATGGTGCTATCGGGCAGGCCTGTCGAGACGCAAACGTTTGGGAGCTTGTGCCATGTTCCCCCTCCGTTTCCATACCCATTGACTCTCAAGAAGGGCTGAGTCTGGGATGGAGCCTCGAACATGGCACCAGGAATCCCGATCCTCTGAACTCAATATTCTCATCGGACCACGAGGCATCAAAGTCTCAGGCGGGCGGAAGCAGTACTACGCAACCCCGAAATATCGCAAGTCTCGCCTACACACGCTAAAGAGGAGTTTTGCAAGATTCTTTGTCCATCAAGACTCTTGAATGAATCAACCTCAACACTTGAACCCCTGTCCGAGGCTGTGGTGCAGCAGGCGTTGGCTGCTGCCGCTGTTGGGCAGACAACTATTGCTCTTGCCCACGCTAACCGCATTTACGCATTTGGTAACGGACGGGCCGTTGAATAGGCTGTTGAACAAGGCACCCGCGCGGGCTTGATGACAGAGCGCGGGCGTTATTGGGAGTTTGTGGGTTTGCAGAGCCCGGGAAACTAAGCCAACCATGCCATGCTCGCATGAGGGTCCCATAGCTTCTGGAAGGGGGAGATTTTGAAGACTTGACAAGTAATAGAATCATATTTGATGTTATATCCCCTCAACGCCAGCTCCTTGTCACAGCCCTCAAAACCCCCTAGTTGATCTCAAGAGACAACTTCCTCAATTAACACTACTCACTGCCATTGTCGATATCCCTCCCAAGCTGCATTCACCCCATACTGCTTTCCAAATACAAAGCCGCCACCAACAGGATGCTGCTGTGCTTACTGCATATTAATGATCAGTGAAACCCATTATTTTCATATTGATTGGTATCAGCCATCCACGCGAGATAAATGCTGTTTTTTTCTTTTTTCTCTATTCCGTAGTGGTTGTAATTGTTGAGTTGATATTGAGAAGAGCGTGCATGCCTGTAGAATATTCTTCCAAGACACATCCACCGTCGCCTAACCCTCAAGACGAGTCCTTTCTAACTTTTCGCTTTCCAGCTAGTCGGCTCTCCGCACCATCCTCTTCAGGGTTCCATTCCTCCGGCTGGAAGTCAGGATTCCCATAGTGAGCCCTGTTCCACACACTATTCTTGAAAGTGTTTGTTGTTACTTGGAAGGTGGGCTCGGGGAAGCTGTTATTTTCATACTCGAGCTGATGGGTGCTAAATCGTATCGGATATCCTGTGGCGCCAGGAGTCGCCATGTGGGAAGGGAGTTGTTGAGGGCCCAGGTTTGTAGAAGGAGGCATCATTGGGGCATTGGAGCTCATTGGTGTGGTTGGTGTTAGAAGAGGAGATGGTGAAGGATGCTGGACCGTCGCAACTGCTGGCGGTGGCTGCGCTGGGGACTCTCCTTTGGTCGACTGTATGTCTGTCCCATATTGTGGCATCCACACCGCCTGTTGGCTAGAGGAAAAGGCATCTCCAATAATAGGATTAGTTGGTGCCGTCACTGCTGGCATGGACATCAAACCCGCTAGTCCATCTGAAGATCCAGTGCTCAAGCCAGGGATCATGCTAAGAGCACCAAAGTCCACGGTAGAGAAAGCGCCCATCGAGGCACCTGTGGTATTAAATGCAGTGTTGTGCGTAAACCCCGTAACTCGATTTACTTGCAACGACACAGGCGGCGGAGAGGCCGTTACCGTTGGCGTTCGGTACAAGATGTCATAATGATCAGGTCGATAAAGAAGATATATGAATGTGCCCAATGATGAGACATCCTTGTCATTTGCCTCCTCCGGGAAACGATACTGGTTGACTTGACTTCCTGTACTTCGGTCCAGATATGCAATTTCCAGTACGAAGTTGACAGGTTTTAGGAGTATGTTGGCCAATGCCACGATGCCTAGATGCTCAATCTCGCGATTGACTACCTCAATATTATGGCTGCAGTATTCGTCAACACCCTGTCCTCCGGGGATGAAAGGCGCATATGTCTCTGCGTTTGCCTTTAGAAACGTTGCCGCCAACAACCGGAAATAAAATATGAGGCTGCCTTCCACAGCAACGTCATTCCACTTTTGATGAAGTAAAGAGTG